GAAATATTAATTAAATTAATAATAAAATTTAATATTTTAAAGGTATTATTATTACATTTTCGGGATTTTTGGTTTGCTCCGACTCCTGGTAAATAAATTATTAAGATTAATTACAAGTTTTATATTTAGGTATTTTATTATTTATATTATTATTACCCCATCCCCCTTCTCTTCCTGGACCAGCTGAAAAGTTAATTAGATTAATAAAGAATTTAATATTTTAGAAATATTATTATTAGATACCTTTTCGGGCTCAGTTTTCTTTGCCTTCTGGTAAAAAAATATTTAGATTAATGACAGATTCAGTTTTTATTATTTCAGTATTATTACCTCGTCGGTGTTGTCCGTCCGGCTCTATTGAAAAATTAATTAGATTAATAATACATATTTAATTCTATTATTATTATTACCTGGATCTCCTCAACTAAAAGCTAAAAATAATTTTATTAATATTTTGTATAAATTATAAATTAGGTAACTTACCTTATTTAGAATATCTTCCAACTGTCCCTAAAAATAAAAAAAACGTTTAAAATACTCTTAAAAAAAAAAAGACTTACCTTTGATATTTCCTTTTCCCGCTTCTAAAAAAATGATCGATATTAATTATCTAGAATCTAGATGAAAGAGAAAATATAATAGGTACTCACTTTATCAAAATTTTTTTCATCTGCTTCCAACTTAAAAAAAAAGAAAAAAAAACAATTTTAGTAGGTACCTATACCAAATATTTTTTCCACACGTTAACTTAATTAAAGTACCTATAGTGTGTTAATATATTTCTTTCAATATATTTTATATTATTAAGTACTTACTTCCTTAATGTCCTTGTTTAATTGTTCCTAAAATAAGTAAAGCGTTATTAAATATAATAAATAAAAATAATTAAGTATATTAAATATTACAACACTTACTATTAATTTTTTCAAAGATTCCATCTAAAAACAATAAATTAATCAAAATATACATGGAAATTTTGTATATAAATAAATAATGCACGGTTCTAAGAGGTCATTTTCCAACTTTTTCTTTAAAATAATAAATAAAAGAAATCATGTATTTTCTTCCTAAGGTCTTTTTTACTTTGCTCGATTATTACTTACAGTAATTCATATAGGGGATTTTTGCTTTAAAACGCAATAATTTTATAAAATCATTAATAATTAATTAACAATTCTAATTTTTTGAGGAAATGAAAGGAAAATATGGTACTTTTAAACAAAAAAAAAAAGAATTCATTTATGTCCATAGTAAAGTCTTTTTTACTTCATTCAATTATTACTATTATTGTATTTTTATTGAAAATGGCATAATAAACAAAATATCAGTGATAATTTTCATTTAATGCATAATTGTTTAAAAGTACCATATTTTTACTTCATTTCCTCAAAAAATTAGAAATGTTCATTAATTTAAGTTTAATATTTTTTAAAAACAAATGAGGGGGCGGCACGATTAAAATTTCGATATCGGCCAAATAAGAACCACAGTATATGTATATAAATGCTGTGATAAATAATGTAGGCATATTATTTCTTAAAAGTATTTTAAAACAAAAATGTATATTGATAATTTAACTTATTTTTGTTGTTTTTTTTTACGAAAATATGTATGTAAATATTTGTTAAAAAAAACTTTTTTTTTTAATGTAAAGGGTGTTTTCTTATAAATGGGACACTCCTATGAAATCTTTATTAGAATATCGAAAAAATTTAAAATCCAGATGCATTGTTTAAAAAAGTAATTTTTTTGACAAAAATTCAAAAACAAAAAAGCATCGGTAAATTTAATAAAATAGCATCGGCATTGTTTTTTTTTAATGAAACACCCTGTATATTTTTGAAAAACAATTCAATTGGGCTACCACTAGATTAATTCTAAATTTAAAAGAAATTTTGTAAAATTTTGAAGTTAATTGATCAGAAAAAACACGTGTCCCTGAGGGTTTTTTTTAAGATAGGTAATTTATGAAATTGTAAGTGTTATTTTTGCAGATTTTTTTTAATTCAAACATATACCTACAAATTATATATATGTGTATTTGAAATTATAATAAAAAAACTCTATCTAAATGTTCAAAAATATACAGGGTGTTTCATTGGAAAAATCAATGTTATATCTACATATCGCTCATTCGAAACAACAGTGACACAACTCAAAAATCAGTTTTTGAGAAAACGCATTTTAAATTTGTTATTACTGTTTTCCATTAACCAAGCCGGGCTAAAAAAATAAAAGCTGGGCTCAAATATTTTGGTTGTTTAGGCATACTCTCTAAAAAATAGTTCCTAATAACAAATTTAAAATGCGTTTTCTCAAAAACTGATTTTTGAGTTGTGTCACTGTTGTTTCGAATGAGCGATATGTATTTCATCAATTTTACCGATGTTTTTTTGTTTTTTAATTTTTGTCAAAAATTTTTCATAAAATTATTTTTTCAAACCATGCAAGCTAGATTTTTTAATTTTTTAATTTATTTTCAAATAAAGATTTTAAAGAAGTGTCCCATTTATACATAAACACCCTGTACATAAATATATTTTTAATGTCAATTAAAATATCAAATACCAATTAAATACATCAATTTTACCAATGCTTTTTTGTTTTTTAATTTTTGTCAAAAAATTTTCATAAAATCACTTTTTTGACCATGCAGCTGAATTTTTTATTTTTTTAATAATTATATTAATTTTTAATTTAATATATGTAATACAATATAATAATATTTTCAAATAAAGATTTTAGAGGAGTGTCCCATTTATACGAAAACACACTGTACATACATAGATTTATTTTTAATGGCAATTAAAATATCAAAAAATATCAATATTAAAAATATCAAATACCAATTAAATACATCAATTTTATCAATGCTTTCTTGTTTTTTAATTTTTATCAAAAAAATTACTTATAATAATATGTATGTAAGTGGTACCCTATTTGATATTTTAATTGTGGTATAAATGTATAAATATAATATTATGTATGTCCAGGGTGTTTTCGTATAAAAACTTTATTGAAAGAGAAATTTAAAAATCCAGCTTGCATGGTTTAAAAAGTAATTTTTTTGATAAAAATTATTATTATTACTAATAATAATTATAATTATTAATTAACTATCTACCCACTTTATCTAATTAATATTTATAATAATTAATAATAATTATTATTAATTAATTATCTACCCAATTATTATTTAATTATCATTTAAAAGTAAAATTCTATTTTAAAAAAATATGCCTCTATGTATACATTCTATGTATACATACATATGTACATTTTTAATTAAAAATAAATAAATTTCACACGTTTCAGAGGCATATTTTTTTTAAATAGAATTTTACTTTTAAATGATAATTAAATAATAATTGGGTAGATAATTAATTAATAATTATTATTATTAATTATTATAAATAATAATTAGATAAAGTGGGTAGATATATCTAACTATAGTTAATTAATAATTATTATTAGTAATAATAATTATATAATGAAATAGAATAGAAATTACCTCTCAGAACAGCACTAGGAATTGTAAATAAATAAATAAATTCTTTTGGTTACTTACTTTACTCAATGATGAAATAATAAACCACTAAATTCAGACACAAATAATCCTAGGACAAATAATATTATGACTGCAAATAAAAAATTGTTGTCGTCTCGTTGCTAAGCGACGAGTTTAGTGAAAGGAGGGGTAAGAAGCTAGCGTGGGAGATCGGAATTTCAAACAAATACCCCTTATTTTATCATATTTTCAAGCTTGGAACATTGGTGGGTAGATGGCGACACCTTACGGACACATTTTCTTGTAAATTAATAATAATACGCCTGGCACAGATCTTCCTACCACCTTGCGTCTCTTCACACACTTTACTCAATGTCTGTACATTGATATCAACAAAAAAGTGAATTTTCGACTTTGATTATAATCATATGATTATAATAATTATTTCTATTATTATAATTCAGTAAGAATCTTTTACCGGGTCGCAAAAAAAACAAATTCGGTGCTGTATTAACACTTTCGTTTTATTTGACGATGTAATTTATAAAATTATAATTATCGAATTTAACTTAATAAATCATTCATTATTTTGTAATTGGATATTTTCAATGGACTCCCTTTTGCAAAAAGAACCCAACCTACAGTATATTTAACGTTTATTTTCTTAAATCAATTTAATTCAATTATATTCTTTTTTAAATTAAAATAATGTTAAGTTGTTGATTGCTTTGTAAATTTTCAGAAAAAAACAATTAAAAAAAAATACCATTCTTCCAAGGCTTTGGAAAAAGTCGTAAAAAACAGTTTTTATCCGAAATCGGCAGTAAAGTAGTCAACAATCGGCAGTAAAGTAAAAGAAATCGGCAGTAAAGTTCTACTTTATTTAATACTAGTATTGTATGCAACTCATTATACATTTTAAGATATGTCTTCTATTTTAAAAAAAGCATCGTCGCGGAGGTCGATTGGAACCTTTCATAAAATGTTGTTTAATAAAAATAATAAGTTAATTTTATTAATTAGATTAAAAAATCGCCGCGGCACTTCCTACATTCAAATAACATTTGATTTGATCATCAATATTAATTATTAGTATTATTAAATGTGATTTCTGATAAAATTTAATATGCACCTCAGCATTAAAGTCATTTTTTATCACGAGTGTGACGTCACTCATCATGTGAGCATTTGTGGACAACTTCATATTGTCAAATTTTTGATTTCCGTTGCCTGCTGGGTATAACTTCGAAAATCTACACCTTTTTCAATTGTATTTCAGAAAGCGTTAAATGTGTTTAAGAATAGTTAAAATTATATTGAAAAGCAACAAACGTATTTCAGAACGCTTTAAATATATTTCAGCATAGTCAAATGTATATCAAAATGCGTTAAATGTATATCAGAAACCGTCAAATGTATTTTAGAACGGGTGTCCCAGAAACGCTTTCTGAAATACAGTTAGATTACCTTTTTTAAAAAATCCGCTTTTTAGTTTTAAAATAGAAACAACGGACGAAACTTTAAAGAAAAACAGCCAGAAGCAGTGGCCGCCGAACAACGGCGACGACAAGCCGCCGTCGTGCAAACCGCCTGGCAAACCGCCGGTGAAAGCCGTGAAACCGATCGTGGTCCGGACGTCCGGTTCGGCCATTTACGCGACGCCTCTGGCGCCCAGCGCCAAGCCGCCCATCTCCGCCAAGCCGACCAATTTCGAGAACAAGACGCCCGAAGACGAAGGAACCGCGAAGAGTCCCAACAAAGACAAAGATAAGAGCGGAAAGGACAACATCTTGGAAATTTCGCAGACTTTGGAGTCCGCCTTGAACGGAATCAAGACCAACTCCTCGGTTTCCACAGCCACGTGGCTACAGGTAAGACATTTAAGATTTTACATATCAAATAATATTAATAATAAATACGGCCTCCTTTTTATCAAAAAATTTCACTCCAGAATTTTCAAAAAAATAAAAATTACAATGTCTAGTCATACTAAATAATGTTAAAAACATTTTAGAATTTTAAACCCACATTTAAGATTATCAAACTTAAGTAGGCATACTAAGGAACATAAAAAATGCATTTTTACATTTTTTAATTGTCACTTGTAACTCGTAACTAAAATGAAGTTTATAAAACTTGATATATAATATACTATAATCCACTTCTACATTTAATACACTATAGTGTACATATTATAGTATATTATTTACTACATACTAAATTTTATCTAAAACAAACAGAAATAAGAATTTAAGGCCAATTTTAATTCATAACTTCAGCCTGTCACTAAAATGCCCAAAAGCCCCTGTTGTCAACTTCAGCCTGTGACTAAAACGCTATAAAGTCACTTCCTTGTTTTTTATACAGATTTCATTGTGAAAATCCTTGAATTTTTCTTATCAACAGTATTTCTTTTTGTTTTTTAACTAAAATTATATAGGATTAAAAAAGCCAAACTTGTTATTAATTTTAATGTTAATCATCATAGAAAAAATATTCAAAACACATTTTGAAAACAATTTATGGCACTAAAAATTAAAATAAAAAAATAGTTTTTTTTAGTTAAGTTTGTAAATTTAATTTAAAAACATTCTTTTCCATTATCGCATAAATGTTATGGTTATAGAGATAAATTGCGGTTTCAGTTATAAAAATGGAAATTTTAAGATACAATCGCAATTATCTCTGAAATTAAATTTAGTAACAAAAAAATATTTTTTGGCGAGCTTAAGATGTTGACCGACAATTTTTTCGTTTTGCATATTTTTTATACCTAACAGATCAATATTTTTGCTGGTAATGCTTTTCAATAACCCAGAACACGACAAAAATAATTATAGGTTTTGAGAAAACATTTTTTGTCGAAAGCTTGGCTTATTTAGCTTTCATATTTTCAGGTATCCGATAAAATCGGCCTGTTGCACGGCTCGTGCATGGACTACGCGGACCAGGTCGTACCTCCGCACGCGAAATTCCAGTTCCGCGAACTGCTAACGCGCTTGGAAAGCCAGGCGTTGCAGCTTCGCTCGGCCGGCGCACGAAACTCCACCGAAAACGCGCGACACGTCAACGAGGTGAGCAACACCATCAAAGACGTGGTCAACGTCGTCTTCCGATAGACTCTCGCCCATCTCTATTTATAGCTCTACCGCTTCAATTATTCACGTATGTGGCGCAGTTGTGGACAAAGTAGAACTTGATATATATTAAAACGCGATATCCTCATTTTTGATCAAAATATGGATGTTATACTTCTGTGGCGCGTTGGAAATCTTTAATACGCGCCCGCACAGCTAAAATTTGACGCCAAGAATTGGGGGGAAACTTAAATTCCCTTGTTTGGGTATGAAAAGAAAGATTTGACGAGTAGAAAACGATAAGTATTTTTCCGACTTACACCAAAGAAGTATAACTTTTAAAGCGCGTCGGATTTCTTTATCAAAACATTTCACCAACATTATTCTAACCAAATTTAATACAAAAAAAATTGTAAACAAATTTTATATTGAACAATTAACAAAAAATGTGAGTTTCTCTGAGATTAAACTTTACGGTAAATTAGAACTTAATAATGGGTTTTTGTTAATTAAATAAATAATCAGTATTGCCACCTCTAGTATCAAGCATTATTCTCAGAGAAATTCACATTTTTTGTAATTTGGTTTCTAGAAATTTGTTTTAATAAATATTTCTTTATTTTTGCAATAAAAAAATGTTTCCGTAATTACTGGGTGATTCCATATAAACTTGATTATTTTGTCCACAAAACTGTACAACAACAATAATTATTTTCGCTTCGTTAATTCGTCGTTTTTGTATTGAACTGTTAGGACCACAATATATAAATATATTTAATAATTTATTAGGTAAGTCAAGCATTTATCAAACTTTTTGGTATGTATGAAGTGGTGGTAGTATTTTTCCAAATGCGTTGATTTTAATTTTGAATTCTGGTTTGTGATCTATCATTATTTATTTGTGAAATAACGTTTTTTATTTATATTCTTTATTTGTTTATACTTATTTATTTGCTTATTTCAGTTCTTAGTTTTAAAAATATATTATTTTTTGCGTTGTGTGTTTCAAAAATAACATGTTTTTAAATTAAAAAATATGTCCTTGTGCAATAATTTTAGTTTTCGTGGTATTAAATTAATTATTTAAGTTATTTCTTAAAGTGTCCAACAGTGTTAATTTTTAAATTTGCCATTTTATTTTCTGTAGAAAATTATCTCTATGGAAAGCAATAAACCAACCAGAACAAGGTATTGCCTTCTATTGAGCTTTCTGCAGAAAGTTAATTAGCTAATTTCAAAAAACACCCCCTGAAGTAGAGTCGTAGAAAACTTTGCCAAATATACAAAAATAAGTATATTTTCAAGTTAATGTTCCTAATTTATGATAAACGTTTTCCGATGATAAATCACAAACTCGTTCTTGTTATTTTCACGAAACTGTGATACCATTAGATTATTTTGGCATTGTATGCTCAATCGTAACTTATTTACTTTTACCTGTCTGTTGTTTTGTTCATTTTCGTGTAAATTTTTTAATTCTGTGCGAGTTTCATATTGTATTATTTTATATTATGTCGTTTTTATTACCGTTGTTCGTGTGTATTTTCGCTCTAATTTTTTTAAGTGGATTTTTTTTATTTTGTAACTGATCGGTGCGATTTTCACACGATATTGGTAATAATAAATATGCTAGTCTTATTTTTTTGTAATATACTGTTTGAATGGGTGAGTGTTCAATAAATAGTTTTTAAGGAAATACTGATATACTATACATTAGATTTATTTATAAGGATATAAATTTTGTACAATCCAAAGATAAAATTAATTAGTAGAGTCGAAAAGTGCTTTTTTATTTTACAACAAGGTTTCTTAAGGTTGTATATACATTTTTGCAGTTTTATATGGTTTGATTTTGATGTTTTTATATAATAAAATAAAGAGGCACTTTTTCACTGGGACTTTTTGTTTTGAATAAATATGCTCACATAAGCCTGTAATATTAAAAAAAAAACCTGAAGGCTGCATGTATCGGTAATCAAATTATACAGGGTGTAACAGTGTTTGTTTAGATATTTTGTCGAAAGTTAGGTTTTAAAATTGATTCTCGTACTTAGTAGTCGATGGTATGCCCTGTGTAATGCGTATTAAAGCTTTCTAGTGTGTATTTGACATGTTACTACAACGATATACTCAATAATTGTGCAAAAATAGAACCAGTTGAAAATAGTTACTAATGAATGTCGGTTACATTTGTTTGTGTTAAGCATCAAAATTAAATTAAATTAAAGTTTGCTTCATTTGCAAATCATTGGTCCAATTTAAAAATAAAACTTCAAGTATTTGTGCCATGATTTAACCATACTCAAGAAACAAGAAATTCTAAAAAAATACTTTTCATAAGGTAGTCGATTTATTTATATTTGTGATTGGAGTGTAATCATGACCCCTTAAGTCTGCACTGTCAATAGAATTAGCATTTTTTCTATGTTAAGTACTTGTCGGCAGTTTTGATATTTTTTGTATATATCTATGCTGCGTTTTGTACAGGCTTTCTAGATAGGGAATAACAGACTGTATCTATTTAAAAATAAATTTGCTAATTTAAAGTACTCCATTTTTTATTTCTACCCCTAAGCTATTTATTTTAGAATAGAAGGTAAGTAAAATCATCATTTCGCTAAATCAGTTTTTACGGAAAAAAAATTAATTTTTTTTCTTTATATAAACTGCGCGTGTCATTGGTCATTGGAGTTCCGCTCATAATAAATTCTGTAAACACTAATATAATTATACAGGGTGATACGCCCACTGGTTCCACACTTGTGTTCTGTTAGTACATATGTAGATACGAACCAAAAAACATTTTTCTTGCAAAAAATAAATAAAAACTTAATTTAAATATATATTTATTTGAGTTTCAAAAAAAAAACATTGGCACTATTGGACAAAATAAAACTTTACATACACATTTTTTTCTTATATTTTCGTAATTATGTAAGTACCTACTACATTTTTAAACAGATTTTGTCTGCGTTTTCACTCAGGCTTAACGTGCACTTGTTGGAGTAGTTATTTCTGTAGTTGTAGTACTTGCTGCGGTCGATGATGTAGTGGTACTTGGTGTGGTAGTTGTGTCTTCGGCTCTCTTCTTTTCCTCGGAAGATTCAGATTCAGAGGACAATGATGATGATTCAGATGTATTCTTTTTTTTCTTGTCAGATTCGTTTGAAGAGTTTTCTTCGGAAGAATATCTAGGAGATCTCACTTTGCGGATCCATTCAATTGTTTTGAAGGTTTCTTCGTCGCCAAAAAGATTGTGAACCACACCACCTTGTCCACCAATGAGGGTTGGAAGATTTTGACTCGTTTTTGATTTGTGAAGGGGTGTGATTAAAGAAGAAACACCCTAAAAATGATGTTTTCTGTACAAGGACACTTTTTTATAAGTATACTTACAGGTTCTGTGTTTTCAAGTTCATCTTCATCATTTTTTATTGTTGTGAAAGTTCCGTTAGGATAACAATGCACTGCAGCTAAAGCCACCAATAACAAAAATAATATTTTCTACAAACAAAACAAAAAATAATTCGAAAAATATAATAAGATGGATACATTTTCTTACATTTGTAATCATGATTGTATCATTCAAGTTAAACTAAAGCATACAATTAGTAGGAATTTTATATAGTTGTTGTTAGAGACTGGACTTTTATGCAAAAATATTCAAAAAAGACACTAAAATTAGGCTGTTTAAACACAAATACTTAATAATAGGAGATTACAATAAAAAAAGGTAAAAATATAAAAGTATAGGTACCTTAAATGTAGATAAAAATTTTGGAAATATGTTTTTTACTAAAATATTTTTACAGGTTGGACTCCGGTCTTTTGTATTTGCAAATTCTTTGTTAATAGTTTCTAACGCTTTAACTAAACAGCGTTGGATATTAATAACCATGGATATTTTCAAGAACGCAAATAAAATTGTTATGTATACATACCTATGGGTAAATTATGCAAATTTCAAATATTTTTTTACGTTATATAATTAATATTTAATTATAGTAAAAAAAATTAATTTTTAATCTATTATACATTGTGACCCATTTGTTGCGACTCACCCCTGTAAAATCTTTATTTATTGTGCGATTTTAACCGGATTTGTTTTAAAGTGTAAATCATGATAAACTGTATTTTTGTAGCAAAAAACTCCATATTTGTACAAAATACAAGGCCTACTATGTCAGTTTTTAAGAATTCATATTAGCGATTTTTTATACAAAATCTAAGCACTGCACTGGATTCAACACCCCTCAAAACGCTCCTTAACTTTTATTAAAAAAATTTAGGTAGAAAAATAAAATAAAATTATAGTAGGGGAGAGTGGGGAGGGTCTGGACACTGGGAGACAATGGACAATGGAAAAATTTCGCGGTTCCAGTAAAAATTTCAGGTTGGTTCTACTATTACAGAGATTTACTTTCCCCTTGTAAGCTTTTCTGCCCAGACCGTTGTAGATAAATAATTTAAAGTTACTACATATTAAAGCATGTATAAAGCATGGAACTTTTGTTATATCCTTACTTTATTCCGTTGCTATATTTTGAAATTATGAACATTTTTTAACATTTTTTTGTTTCACATCATGTAGGGAGAGTTTGGACACACTGTCTAGAGTCTTCCTCTATTGTCCAAACATATTCCCGGCACTTCGTTAGCAGAATATTGCAAAAATTATACCAAGGATATACAGTCAAATTCCTTAAAAGGCAGTTTCTATCATACAGATTTAAAGAAACAGATGAAGATGAAGCCTTGGTGGATTTTAAGGACGTGGTATTGGTTCTTGGGGGGCCCACTGACGGAGTTCGATTCCATAACATGATTTACTTTAATTTTAATTTGTCGCAATTTAGTATTGAATAAGTTTTGCTCTGATTTTTTCAATAAAATTCCTAAATTTATAATATTTTTATAGTGTCCAGAATCTCCCCGTATGTGGGGTGACTTTGGACAGATGACCGAAAATTTTCAAAAATTCGTAGCGAACCCATCTTACGGTTTAAAGTGCACATATTTATCTCTTTGCGTTTTCAGAAGTCAACACTATTACCTGAAACTTTGAAATTAGAAATAATTACATTTCTAAGAGACCCAGGCAAAAAAATCTAAAAATTGTCCAATGTCTACCCACTCTCCCCTAACAGTAGGTACCATGCTACCCGGTTAAAATCGAAGAATAAATAAGATTTTACAGGGGTGAGTCGTCAACAAATGGGTCACACTGTATATAAGCCCATAGGGTACTTACGTACTGTGTACACATATAGCATTTTTAATGGTTAGATATTCTCAACATTACAGATATTTAATTATTTATATTAAAGTATAAGTAAATATAATAATACACAATAATAAATTTAGAGATTTTTAGTCCGAGTGATGTACTCCAGCTTGTCCACCAATCAAATTTTTGGGAGCCTCTGTAGTTCTGTCTTTGTGATAAACACCAGCTGGTCCTCCAATAAGGACTGGATGATTTTCAGTCGACTGTAACAGAAGCCCGTCAACATAACGACCACTTAGACCTGAGGTGTGAGGAGGGCTTACTTTTAAATTTGAATATTTTGGCAAGGATGAATGACCCTTAAATAAATAAAAAACAATAATTAAAATAAAAATGACCCGTTTTAATTTTGAGATTGATATTAGTAAAACCATATTATGTGATACTTTTATTTTTTAAAGTAGATAAAAAATTACATATATCTCCTCAGTATTCTGGGTCACCCTGTACACAATCCAGACATAAAAACGTTAGCTAGATCTAGTCGACTTACCGTTTGAGTTTCAGGCTCACTATTCTTTTGGGTGTAATTGCCATTTGGAAAGCCATTAACAAAAACCAAAGCAACCAAAAACAATAAGAATATTCCCTGAAAAAATTAACCAAATTATTTAAACAATTACCTATTACGTCTATTAATACCTTAATCATGATTTATTTAATCCAAAATTTTAAATGACTGAATAAGCCATGATCCGCTGGTTTTTATATTCACGCTGGTGCTAATTTTTTAAATAAATTTTTTAACAAAGAACCTTAACGTACGATAAATTATCGTCGATAATTAACTGTTTTTCTTTCAAATTTGGGTTTAGTTGTGAATTTTGGTAATTCAAATGTTTTATAAATTATAGATAATTGTAAAAAATACTTAACATAGGTGACCAAGACGTTATGAAAAATGTTTTGTTTCTTGTTCTTAGTTTTTTTCAAAGAACATTATTTTTATTAGTTTTAAACTCAATTTTTTACAAAATTGAGTGGTCAAAGATTGACAAAATGTTTTTCTGCAGATATAGTTCATTTCGAAAAAATATTTATTTTCAAAGTGAATACATACTGGTTAAATAAACTTGAAATTACAGATTTGTTTTATTTAAGGCAATAATAAACAATATTAAATTAACTATTTTTAGTTGCATTTCTGAACACCAGCTTGTCCGCCAATCAAATGTTTGGAAGCCTCTGTTGTTTTGTCTTTGTAGTAGACACCATCTTGTCCGCCAATAGGACGTTTAGGACTTTCAGAAGTTCCTTTTTGAGTTCCAGCTGGTCCGCCAATCGTGCCTACATCTCTGGTTTTACGTACACCATCTTGTCCGCCAATCAAATGTTTGGAAGCCTCTGTTGTTCTGTCTTTGTAGTAGACACCATCTTGTCCGCCAATCAAATGTTTTGAAGCCTCTGTGGTTCTGTCTTTGTAGTAGACACCAGCTTGTCCGCCAATAAGATGTTTAGGGCTTTCAGAAGATCCGTGCTGAGTTCTAGTTGGTCCGCCAATTGTGTCGACATCTCTGGTTTTACGTACACCATCTTGTCCGCCAATCAAATGTTTGGAAGCCTCTGTGGTACCGTCTTTGTGGTAGACACCAGCTTGTCCGCCAATGAGATGTTTAGGCCTTTCAGAAGTTGCTTGCTGAGTTCCAGCTGGTCCGCCAATTCTGTCGACATCTCTGGTTTTACGTACACCATCTTGTCCGCCAATCAAATGTTTGGAAGCCTCTGTGGTTCTGTCTTTGTAGTAGACACCATCTTGTCCGCCAATGAGATGTTTAGGCCTTTCAGAAGTTCCTTGTTGAGTTCCAGCTGGTCCGCCAATTCTGTCGACATCTCTAGTTTTACGTACACCATCTTGTCCGCCAATCAAATGTTTGGAAGCTTCTGTGGTTCTGTCTTTGTGGTAGACACCATCTTGTCCGCCAATGAGATGTTTAGGCCTTTCAGAAGTTCCTTTCTGAGTTCCAGCTGGTCCGCCAATAGTGTCGACATCTCTGGTTTTACGTACACCATCTTGTCCGCCAATCAAATGTTTGGAAGCCTCTGTGGTTCTATCTTTGTAGTAGACACCATCTTGTCCGCCAATGAGATGTTTAGGCCTTTCAGAAGTTCCTTGCTGAGTTCCAGCTGGTCCGCCAATAGTGTCGACATCTCTGGTTTTACGTACACCATCTTGTCCGCCAATCAAATGTTTGGAAGTCTCTGTGGTTCTGTCTTTGTGGTAGACACCAGCTTGTCCGCCAATAAGGGCTGGGTTATTTTTTGTTAACTGTAACAGAGGACCAACTTTTAAATTCAAATCTTTTGGCAAAGAAAAATCTTCCTAGAATAATAAAAAAACAGCTGTTTGAATATTTACATTTATTCATTCTAGTGAAATCTTCATGTAATCATATTCTATGAGTGTTCTGGGTCACCCTGTACACAATCCAAACACAAAAAAACGTTATCTAGATTACTTACAGTTTCTGTTTTATGTCCATCATTCCTTTGTGTGTAATTGCCATTGGGAAAGCAATTCACTGTAATCAAAGCCACCAAACACAATAACAATATTCCCTATAAAATATATAATATTATTTAAAGAATAATTCCTTTTATAATAGTGTTACCTACCTTGATCATGATTTAATCCAAAATATCAACTGACTAACTGAGCTTTGGATTGCTGGTTTTTATATAAAAAAGTATCACATGTTTACACTTTTAAATGTGGTAAAAATAATTATCTTTTTTCTGATTCATTCTAATGCTAATATGTTAAATCAATAACGACCAAGTTTAATTATTTAACAAAGGACGTTCTTAACGTATGCTAATTTGAATGTTTTTTTTTTATATATATTTAATGGTTTTGTTGTGCATTTTAGTTATTAAAATGTTAATTAAAAGCCTTAAAACAATATAGCAAATTATAATTATTTTACAAAAAATTATTTAAAGGTTCCTAGAATATTATATTGTAATATTATTTATTATCATAAAAATATAATTTAATTTAAAAAAACGTTTTATGTTGTTTTAAAAACTATAATTATCTAAGTTTATTGTAAAAGTTAATTTGTTTACACCATAATATTCTTAATAGTTTAGTGAGAACCAAGACTAATGTGAAATATTATATTTTACTATGTATAATCTTATGTCATTTTTTTCGTTTTAATTATTTTGCAATCTTATTGGAAAAAATGGCTTTTTATGAAACCTCGTCATGTTTCATTTTGCATTTTTTTATTTTATTTTATGTTATACGTATAACCAAAGGTACCTTTGGTCAATTTTCAACTTTTATATTTAATTTTTTTTAATGTCATTTTTTAATTTTATTTTTTTTTGCAATTTTTTTTTATCTTTGCCATTTGAAAAAATAGCATTTTTTATAAAACTTGTCTTTGAGTGGTAAAATATTAAACATCTTGAAAAATTAAACAAAGAACATTCTTTAAATTTATTTTAGTTTATTGTAGTAAAAGTAATTTCTTTATTATTTCAATATTCAATGTTTCAATATAGACTTAAGTCTATATCTAAGAAGGCAAATACATATTGCAAAAGGTAAAGATGTTTACCTTTTGCAATATTTGCCTTCTTTATGAAATCTTGTCCCCTCAAGTAAATAAAAAAGTAAATTATTTTAATTCATTAATTATTTATAGTTTTGAACAATTTATTACTACAAAACTTTATACTACATGTTTGTGGAAATATTTGAAATTTTATTTGCAAAATATTAAAAGCCTCGCATAGAAATAAATAAACTCTTAATCACAAATTATTTATGTAATATAATATTTTTTTAATACGTAAGTTGGTAAATATTTTTAACTATATAAACAAGTAACGGCCTTTATTTAAGTGCTTAAACATTCTAATTATTCCTACAAACACTTCAAAAATATATAAAATACGTCTATTATTCATATTTTTTATATAAATAGTAAAAAATGGAAATCCCATGCCAAAGATGTAATGGAAAAAAAATTAAAATAAAATACTGTTTAGTGTTATCAATTTATTTTTATAGTTTATGGTACATGTCGCAGCAAAATATCTTACACGATTAACGATTAAATTTGTACTTATTTTTGTGATTTAAAAACTAGAACTATCAAGTCTTAATACTTACACATTTTTAAGATTGAGAAAATATTTGAGCCTTACATTATAGTATTTCATATGAGCAAAATATATTTTGATTTATGTAATATCAATAAATACTAAAACTTAGTAGTTCTTCGTTTGCATCTACAATGTGCAATATAGTATTTATAAGAAAATAGATAGTTTAAGCACCAATCATTTTTTTGACAGTATAGCCTGGAATAGAGTAGAAGAATAAAAGTATGATTATTGCTAAGCCCAAGATTATCAGTATTTTTAGTATTTTCCATTTGTAGTTGTGCCACAAGATGTATCTGATGGATTTTATGGGGTTCATGAACCACATGAAAGAAGAATCGGGGCGACTAAAAGGAGAAACAAGTTTAAGTCTATTAAAACAGATTAAAATAGAAGATGGTAGAAGTGTACACAAAATAATTTTCTTACTTTGGTTTCTCCAGAGGATCAGGCTCATTTCTTCCGAAACCGACAGGTATTTTTTCAGCTTCTTCCTTTGTTAGAAGATGTATTTCAGCTTCGACTTTGCCAGTCAGCTCCATTTCTTCGTTATCCTTTTTAATGAAAAAGGGCCACCATCCTTTCACCCTTTTCTGTTTGAATATGTTCACCATGGGTACAGACCCATCAGCTTTCAGCATGTTTAGAGTGCAGAGTTTTGAGGATTTTGCTCCTCGAGGAAAGCGATTTAGATCTAAGGTTATAGCGCCCAAAAAGTCATCAGCCGAAAAATGATCTGCATCCCAAACCTGCAACTCCAATCTAGCAGGAATCTTGCATTCCGTCTCGTCCCAGGAAAACAACGATTCCTTTCTCGATATCACAATTTTTTGCTCGGCCACCATGTAATCGAACGGAAAAAGAAACCGCCAGTTGAAATTTCCCTCCCCCGTCAAAGATCTGTAGTGAATATCAGTGCACTGGCAGTCTTCTGGGCCCTTCAACCAACTGAAAAAAAATGTGGAATGAACATATCAGAGGCTGAATGCTTCTTACCCTTTGACATAAATATCCGACATCTTTTCTCCTGTGAAAAAGGCATCGTCCTCCAAAACGACCTCGTCGGTGTTCCAAATAATCACCCTTAACTCGTAGCTTTTCGGTTTTCTCGGCGATATATCCAGAGGGGGCCCTGGAAGAGGCATGTCCATGGGGAACATGTCCACCCACATCTCCAGTTTCCCCCGCTCAATGCCTGGTTTGTCCGGGTTGTACAATGGGCGTGTTTCGACGTGCTCAGGCACAATGTGGCAACCAATTTGGGGAAATTCATGCCACCTAAGCGGAGAATGTATGTTCATGTAAATCGAACAAAAATATCAAAAACTTATACCTGTGAAGTACCGCAAGCGCCATGTGCTCCTCGGCCTCGCGGTTCTTGTAGAAATCGACGTCGTCGCATTGAATGGAAAACATCTGCTTTCCGCACTTGACTTGGCCGTCGCTGTAAACGGGCGCCTCCACTTTGGCGTCCTTGCAGAGTTTCGCCAAAATTTGAGTCGGTTTCATGGCGTCCCTCCAAGCGTTGTATCCTTGTCTGTACACAATACTCGAGTTAAGAGACAGATAGTTTAATCCACACAAGTTTGCTTATGATCATATACAGGGTGTTCCTTAATATCATGTACAAACAAAAGGGGGTGATTCTTTGGCTTATTTTATGAATAAAAGTTCCTATAAACATGGGCCCGCAAACGCTTCGTTACCGATCTACAGGGTGTTAAAGTTTGGAGATTTTTTTAGTTTTTATCTTATAACTTCTGCAGTTTTTGAGATATTTGGCCCAAATTCGGAATATAGGTTGGGATATAAGGCTTACATCATTGGGCATGCCAAATGGTTATAAGAATCTACAGGGCGATACTTTTTTGTATGTCATGCTCCCCTTTTTTCCCAAGAACTTTTTTATGGTGCGCTGCTGGTAGATTTTAAAATACAAAATAAGTTTTCTGTTTTGTTTAGAAACTTTTTAGTAACCTAAAGTTTTTTCGTATCTGCAACCATTATCGAGAAAAAAAATATAACACAAGTTGTTGTCATTTGCGAGATAAAATTCAAATTTCTAAAATAATCTGGTTGGCTTTATTAATAATTTATTTTTATTTATTTTTAAAATAATATTTCTATACTTCTTATTAGAAACAAAACGGTTTTGGTTACAATGATTTATTTTAATACAAAAAACTTAAATATTTAGAAAAACTAGAAAATTACCTTACAACAATTGTTGTAATGGTGTACTCTTTTAAACATGATTTGAATTCATTTCTGCCACTACTTATTAAATATCAAATCTGAAATAAAATGGTTTATGTAGCTATTGGATACAACATCACAGACAACACACTGTCTACAACATCAAAAAAATACATAAAAACGATGCTATTGACAGCACGCATTTAAAGTTTTAAACTGCAAGGTGTAAAATTATTTAAAAGACTCGTTATAATTAAATTTCTTATCAGTCCGTAACAATGCCAAATTATACGAATTCTGAAATGGCTGACATGCATTTCATCTATGGCCTTGCGGATGGAAATGCAAGAGAAGCTACACGCCTGTACATGGAGCGCTATCCCGATAATAGAATAATACCCGATCATCGAACATTCACAAATATTCATAGGCGTCTTGCAGAAAGTGGAACTTTTAAAAAGAATACCAATGATGCAGGTAGACAATATACGGTAAGAACACCACAGATTGAAGAAGCTGTTTTAAATGAAATAGAAGAGCATCCAGATACTAGCACTAGAAAAATTAGTGAACATTTCAACATTAGTCATCAAGTTGTTTGGCGTATCCTGCGTGATTCTCTACTATACCCTTACCACATTCAAAGGGTGCAGGCGCTCCTTCCTCGAGATTTCCCATTAAGGCTTAATTTCTGCCGATGGTACCTTGCCAGGCTAGCAAGAGACCCTAATTTTGACTGTAAAATCCTTTTTACCGACGAAGCCAACTTTTCTAGAGACTTAATTATAAATTTTCATAACAACCACATATGGGCTGAAGAAAATCCACATGAAATTGTAGAAACGCATTTTCAAGAACAGTTCTCGTTAAATGTATGGGGTGGTATAATTGGGGATTATTTGATTGGTCCTTTCTTTTTGCCTAATCGACTTAATGCTCAGTCATATAGGCATTTTCTTCAACATGAATTGCCTTTTTTAATAGAAGATTTGCCTGTTTTGCTAAGAAACCGTATTTGGTATATGCACGATGGCGCCCCAGCACATTTTTCTATTTTGGCTCGGGAGTATTTAAATGTAGCATATGAAAACAGGTGGATAGGACGGGGTGGACCTCAGCCATGGCCCCCTAGGTCTCCTGACCTAAACAGCCTGGATTTTTTCCTATGGGGGCATCTCAAATCTTTAGTCTATGCAACACCAGTTAATAATATAAATGACTTACAAAATCGGATAGTAGAAGCATTTGAAACCGTAAGAAATACTCCGGGGGTGTTTGAAAGAGTAAGGGCATCAATGAGAAGAAGAGCAGATGCTTGTGTGAGAATTGGAGGAGGTCACTTTCAACAATTGTTGTAATGTAGTTTTCTTGTTTTTCTAAATATTTAAGTTTTTTGTATTATAATAAATCATTTTAACAAAGAGCATTTTGTTTTTAACAAGAAGTGTAGAATAAATTGTTAAAATAAATAAAAATAAGTTATTATTAATAAAGCCAACCAGACCCTTTTAAAAATTTGAATTTCATCTCACAAATTTTGTTCTACATATTTTTCTCGATAACGGTCGCAAATACGAAAAAACTTTAGGTTACCAAAAAGTTTTTAAACAAAACAGAAAATTTATTTTGTATTTTAAAATCTACCAGCAGCGCACCATAAAAAAGTTCTTGGGAAAAAAGGGGAGCATGACATACAAAAAAGTATCGCCCTGTAGATTCTTATAACCATTTGGCATGCCCAATGATGTAAGCCTTATAGCCTAACCTATATTCCGAATTTGGGCCAAATATCTCAAAAACTGCAGAAGTTATAAGATAAAAACTAAAAAAATCTCCAAACTTTAACACCCTGTAGATCGGTAACGAAGCGTTTGCGGGTCCATGTTTATAGGAACTTTAATTCATAAAATAAGCCAAAGAATCACCCCCTTTCGTTTGTACATGATATTAAGGAACACCCTGTAGATAAAGCTAGAAATATACTGGAAAAGTTGATGATTTGGAGGGTTCTTTTTTACTACACAATATGTAAAGAGAAGTAACATATGAATATTAAGTACAAAATATCTGGTAGTCCTTATTGTTAAGCGATTCTGAACAAAAATTTATCAAAACAAACACTCGAAAAAATCTACTCCTACAAAAACGTTATACAGATTACGAAGACAAAACCAATAAACTGAAAAGACAGAAAGAACTGCATCTAAAAAGGAGACACCAATAAATCAGGTGTAGCTGACATGGTCACTCTATCAGGTTGTCAGAAGCCATAAGGAACGTCTGGAAACCGTTGTTAAATAGATGGATGTTAGATACACGTATTAAGTTACAAAGAGGTTTTCTTTAAACGGAGATCGATCGAATAATTTTTATCTATTCTCAGGATAGTATTCTGCACCATTTGTTTCAAACGTCCACATAAAAAAATTCATAATAGTCAAATCTGGACTTCTTGGAGGTCAAAAATTTGGGCAATATCGACAATGCTAGGATAAAACTACACCATTGCACAGTGGGTTGGAATGCTATTTTTCTGGTCTGGTTTTTCATTTTATTCAGAAATAAATGCTCACAAAAAAAGTATTTTTATTGTTATTAGCTAAAAGTTTGAAAAGTTTTGAAAATAAATTTTGTGCATTGGTGGTGAATGTGGATTCATTACAAAATACAACAAATTAGTGAAACTTTATTCGATTTATAATTGTATCTTCCAAAAGGGTAGCTGCATCGTCTTTATTTAACTTGTAGTTACTTACTTTGTATGAAAAGTTTTTCCCGATTGTTTATTTTCATATAATTCAAAAAAACATTAAGGACCACTTAATACTTAAAGCTAGATTGCATAAAAATACTGGAATATTAGGTACCTACCTAGTGGCAAAATATAAATACTTAGGAATTACTCTAGGAAAACAGACAGACATTTCAGTCATGCATTTAGAAACAGGGGATAACTTTAAGAATTATATTTCTTTTGTAACAAAATCATACCTCCTTTTTATCGATGAACGTAAGCATAACACAGAATAATTTTTGTATTTACAAAAGTTAAAACTTCTTTCAAAACTTTTATTTTAAAAGTTCTCTTATCAAACGCCCAACGAACGTAAATATTTCATTTTTAATCACAGTTAAAATTAGTTTTTCCACTTACTCTTCGTATTTTTCCGGGAGCCCGCACGTGGCCCGATGTCGGCTGTAAAATCTATTTTCCAGGTCGATTTTCGTCTCGCCCACGATGTCGTCCGAGCCGACCAGGTCCCAATCGTAAATTTGCACGGTCAACAGCGAATCCTGCGGAAATGTGGCCTCGATCTCGAAGCATCTAAAACACGAGGACAAATCGGCCTAAGCATTAGAATTTATGGCTTCGGGTGAGGCAAAACAGTTTTGTCGCATCTAGAGTTAAAACATTGTTGTCGACTAATAAAATAAACTTAATTAAATGTTCAGCTTGAATCGCTTAAAGAACATTTAAGAGTGTTTTTTTAAAGTTTTAAATCAGTTTGTACATGGTTTATAATTGTAATTGTAATGTTTGGTTTCTGACAAAGTTTTTACAGTTTAAATCGGTTTTGGAACATTACTAGTATTTCCTATCATTTTATAATGTTCCGAAGAAGTTTTTAGATATTTTAGACGGGTTATGGAAATTTTTTAGTTCTGAACAACTTTTTGTTAGTTCATCATTTTAGAATGTTCTAAGACAGTTTTTAAAATATTCTAAGTCAGTTTTTAAAATGTTCTGACAGTTGAAAGCCAGTTTTAGAACATTCATAGACTTTAACAACATTTTAGATTGTTCGCCTTAAGGATAACATAACAAGATCTAACCAGAACGCAGCAATGCATTTTTAAGAAAGAATTTCGTTAAACATCTTAAGTGTAGGTTAAATTATAAAACAGCCTTTTATAAATATATACCATTTTTTTTAGCCCCACCCAAATTTTCGTTGTAATATTGTTTACATAAAAAACGAACAATTGTTTTACAATAATAATTATTATTGTTTGTATACGTCAGTAACAGTGTAAAGACAATAAAAAATATAAAATATTTCGTGTGGGTAATTGTCGTATAAAACTGCAATCGATAAAATAATATTAAAATAATATAACAATATAAAGTTTCAGCTGCATTTTTTTGTAGATATAATCGTGTCATCCTTGACAGAGCCACCGCGCATGCCCGGCCGGCGATTCGCTTTTGTCAGTTTGTCAGCCATAATAGCAAAACGACCGGCAATTTGACATGCTAGGCGTCCTTTTGATAAAATGAGTATATTATTGCAGTTTTTTGTGTTTCGGTGCGATATTTTAGTGCGTGAGTGACCTTTTTTCCTCTGGAGATGCAATAACAACGATGGTGACAGGGAAAGGGCTTTAAAGGTAAAAATTGTTATTTTGCTTGTTTGTGTTGTTTTTTAATGTTTTTATTTATTACAGTGTAACGACAATATAAAACAAAATATTTCGTGTACCTAGGTAATTGTCGTATAAAACTGCAATGATAAAATAATATTAAAGTAATATGACATTATAAGTTTCAAAAGCATTTGTTTTAAATCGTGTCATGTTTGACAGAGCCACCGCGCATGCCCGGCCAGCGATTCGCTTTTGTCACTTTGGCAGCCATATTTGCAAAACGATCGGCAAAGTGCTTGGCTTGGCGTCCTTTTGATAAAAATGCAGATATTATTGACTTTTGTAAGTTTCGGTGCGATATTTTAGTGCGTGAGTGACCTTTTTTTTCCTCTGGAGATGCAATAACAACGATGGTGACAGGGAAAGGGCTTTAAAGGTAAAAATTGTGATTTTGCTTGTTTGAGTTGTTTTTGAATGTTTTTTTTTCTTTGTTACAGGTAGGTCCAGTACGGGACTGATTAACTAGGCAATCAGCAGCAAAGTAGTAAGTGATTTTTAAATATTTTTTAGTAAGGATCATTTTTAAGTAAATTTTATGTTTTAATACATACACTTAGATAAAGAAAATCTTAATTTAAGTATATACAGATTATCAACATAAAAATAATTGTTTAACGCTTGTTAATGACTGTAGTAAGGGGACATCCATTAATTACATGAGGCATTTTTCTGATAATTATAATTTGGACCCCCTCTCCCTTGGTGAGATGTGGTAGATCCCCCCATCCCTCACGTGAGATTTTAGCCATTTCTTTGCGGACAACATATAAAAAAATGATTTTTTTAAAACAAATTTGAATTAGGTATAATACATATTTTCTAAACTCAAAATTTAACGTGAGATTTATATTTTTCACAATTTTGCTTTAATCTTAATACAATTTTTAGGGTATACTTTTCAAAATATGGATATCTAATTAATTTAATTGGTATGCTGAAAATTTAAAAAATGTTTTTTTTGATAAAAATGGCGGGATTAATTTATAAAATCCTCGTCAATTTTAAAAAAGTACATTACTTTTTTTTAAGCTAAAATTTTCAAAATTGTTCTTTTCCCAAAAATGGCGAATGCGCCGGGATTAATTTATAAAGGACTCGGAACCTTTTAAAAAGTGTTTTACGAAAAATCTGCTAACGTTACTTTAAAAAGAGCATTTTTTATATATCCCTCAACTTTTATAAAACTCTTATTAAAATTGTGGTTGATAAAATTTTTTATGTAAAAAATTAAAAATTTATTTTTTAAACACGTATATTTTTTACAATTTTGCTTTAATCTTAATGAAATTTTCAGGGAATACTTTTTAATATACAAATATGTATTTAATTGGTAAGCCAAAATTTTCAAAATTGTTGTTTTCTCAAAAAAATGGCGAATGCGCCGGGATTAATTTATAAAAGCCTCGGTAACCTTTTAAAAAGGATTTTACGAAAAATCTTTTAACCTCATTTTAAAAAGAGCATTTTCCTTGATATATCCCACCCTACTCGGGAATTTTTGTAGCGTCCGTTACAATAAAAAATTGTGAGTAAAACTACCGTAATTATTATGGTTATAAGTTTAAGCCTATAGGCCTAATTATTACAAGCATAATAAACATGTTTGCAATATTAACTATTGTAACAGTATTTAATTTAAATATGGTAGCTTTTAATCACAGTTTTTGATTGTAACGGACGCTACAAAAATTCCCGAGTACCGCGGAATGGCTGAAAACTCTCATTAAATTGTGAATGAAAGGTACAATTTTTTAAGTAAAAAATTAAAAATAATTTTTTTAAAACGTATGTTCTTCACAATTTTGCTTTAATCCTAAGTATTCTTTTCAAAATACAAATATTTTATTAATTTAATTGGTATGCTAAAGATTTCAAAAATGTTGTTTTCCCAAAAATGGCGGATGGGCCGGGATTAATTTATAGAAACCAAAATTGTATTGATTTTTTTGTAAAATATTTTTTTTAATTAGGATTTTTTATAAATTAATCCCGGCGCATCCGCCTTTTTTTGCAAAAAACAACATTTTTGAAAATTTTGGCATACATTTCTTACTTTTTGAATCTTATTAAATTTTTAAATTAATAGTTTTTAAATATTTTATACGGTTTATTATTGGACATTTTTCAGTTCTAAAAAGTTCATTGGTAGTTAAAATCGGTTTTTAGAACATTTTGGAATGTTCAAAAATAGTTTTCAAAATATTTAGACAGGTTTGAAATGGTTGAAAAGTTTAAATAATTTAAATCTGTTTTAGAACATTCCTAAACTTTTTTAACATTTTAGAATGTTCTAAAGAGAGTTTTTAAAACATTTTAACAGTTTTTAAGGCAGAGTTTTCAAAATGTTTTAAGGCAGAAAGTTCATCAAAAGTTTAAATCGGTTTTAAACATTTTTGAATGTTCTAAAACAATTTCAAGTCAGTTTTTAGGCCGTTTATACATTTTTAGAACTTGTTAGAATTATAAATGTTTGGACAATTTTTGGTTCTAAGAAAGTTTAGACAGTTTAAATCGGTTTAGAACATTCCTATACTTTCATAACTTTTTTTAATCTTCTAAGAGAGTTTTTAAAATATTTTGACAGTTTTAGTCAGTTTTTAGATATGTATTTTAGGTTAATGAACATTTTTTAGTCCTAAGAAAGTTGGTGGTTTAAATCGGTTTAGAACATTCCTATACATTCATAATATTTTAGAATGTTCTAAAAAAGTTTTTAGTCAGTTTTCAGATAATTTATAAGGTTTCAGGTTCAGTTTTAAGAAAGTTTATTGATCGTTTAAATCGGTTTAAATTTTATAGACCCTTTTCGATTCTAAGAAAGTTGAAACAGTTTAAATCGGTATGGAACATTCCTATACTAATATAACACATATCTCTTGTTCTACATATTTAGATATTATTCTCAATAAAAAAAAATACTCTTCCTACATTTTATGTTGTTCTAAGAGGGTTTTAAAAATGTTTTGAAAGTTATAAGGCTGTTTTTAGATATTTTAGACGATTCATGGGCAGTTTTGTGTTTTGAGATTATTCAATGTTTTAATCGTTTTTAGAACATTTTTGAATGTTCTAAGACAGTAAAGATCATTCATAGACATTTTTGGTTCTAAGAAAGTTTAGACAGTTTTAGCGGTTTTAGACTTTCATAACTTTTTAGGATGTTCTTAGAGAGTTTTAAAAATGTTTTGACAGTTTTAAGGCAGTGTTTTGATATTTTGGTCGGTTTATGGACAATATTTAGTCAGAAAGATTATTAATCGTTTAAATCGGCTTTAGAACATTTTAGAATGTTCCAAGAGAGTTTTTAAAATATTGTAAAATATATAATAACATAAGTAATAGGTATTTAGCATATAGTTTTGTAAAAATATTAAGTTTTTGAAATAGTTTTTAACTTACTTTCCAAAAATTGGATTGAGCTGCTTGGAGATGTAATTATCCTTGTCGCTGATCCTCTTCGATCCCAATTGCAAAACTATGTAAGGATCCGCCTTGCCATTCAAATCCATCGGATGGAGGTCGTTGGCTTTCACCACGTAAACTCTGACCAAGACGCGGATCGGGTCGTTGGATGGCAGTCCCTGAAAGAACCCGAATTGCGGGTCGAAACCCATGATTGTCCTGTCCTCGATGTCCTTCGGCAACGGCCATTTGTACACCTTGATTGCCCCCTAAAAGTTATTTCTTTATGCAGTCATAATTAGTTAATGTTTGATTACCTTAAAATAACCAACTACTCTACTTTCGTCCTCAGAATCCTCTCCAGTCTTTTTTCCCCTATAAAGTTCGAATGTATGTAGCCATTCTCTAAATTCATGATACTCTGGTTTTAGTTCTAATTCTGTTGGAAAAACCTAAAAAAAATAAAAAGCTAGAATTGTCGATATTAAAACATATTTTTAATAAATTGAAGTTTTTCCTTCAAATCTAGTGTTTTTGTTTCCCCATTCGTATATTGTCAAAAGTCAAATGTAATATTTGTATTTTAAGTAAAGTTTAAGTTTTTTCAACATTCAAGTGTTGCAATAAGTATTTATACAATATCTGCAAGTCTCCAAAACTATTAGTGACGTCTTTTAATGTAAATACAGCTCTTTGGGTTTTCGCCACATACGATAATTGCAAAAACTCTTTGAGTTTTTGCAATATATGATAATTGCCAAAACTAAGTATAATACACTCACGTGCAAAATAATCGATCCACACAAATTTTCGATGAATTTCAATCGCAAATAACTTTTTTATTTGTAGATAAATTAATGGACAATCGCTCACATTTTAAAAAATACTAAAAAATAGACGTACGTTTATAATATACAGGTTTAAACAAAAAGATGTTTTTTACCATAAGTTTAAGACACTCTGTAGAGTGGCAAAACCGTAAATTGTTCTAAATTAAGTTTTATTTATCAAGTCACATCTATTCTTAACAGTTTTGTTTTTGGTTCACCTCGATATATTTATTTTTATGGAAAATATGGATTTTTTAAAAAAACATTGCAATTTCCAATATTTTTCTGTATGAAGAACTAAGGTTACTATGGTCCATCCATAGGCTATGGGGAATGACAGTTACAGTTTTGTTGAATCATCCCATACTTGGACATGTCATACACGGCTAAAGCTATCAAATTGTTTAAATTTTGAGGTGTCTTCCTACTTTATAAAATGGATAGGTATGTCTCCGACTGATGTTGCCAGAGCCATTAATTTAATCCAAGATGGACGGTCACAGTATTACATGGCAAGAGTTTTAAACGTCACAAGTAGTAAAGTACAAACGGCAACATCAGTCGGAGACATTTTTAAAAGTAAGAAGACACCTCAAAATTAACACATTAATTTACAAAAAACAATTTGATAGCTTTTGAAAGCTGTATATGTCATGTCCAAGTATGGGATGATTCAATAAAACTGTCACTGTCATTCTTCATAGGCTATGGATGGACCCTAGCAACCTTAGTTCTTTATACAGGAAAAATGCAATGTTTTTTTTTTAAATCCATAAATTCCACAAAAATAAATATATCGAGGTGAAAAACAAAACTGTTAAGAATAGATGTGACTTGATAAATAAAACTTAATTTAAAACAATATACGGTTTTGCAACTCTACAGAGTGTCTTAAACTTATGGTAAACAACATCTTTTTGTTTAAACCTGTATATTATAAACGTACGTCTATTTTTTAGTATTTTTTTAAAATGTGAGCGATTGTCCAATAATTTATCTACAATATTCTTTAATATTCGTATAAATCCGATATCAAATATTAAAGTTATTTGCGATTGAAATTCATCGAAAATTTGTGTGGATCGATTATTTTGCACGTGAGTGTATTTAACTTTTCTCCGAAAAGCACAATCGCATAGTTTTTGCAATCTATGACAATTGCAACAAGTGACTTTTATATTCTTTTAATTGATAAGGTTTTTCAACACACGAGTTTACAAAAGTATTAGTGACACTTTTAATGTGAAAAGCTATCTGCAACTCTTTGACTGTTTATAATATCTATACGATAATTGCCAAAACTCAAAGAGTTTTGGCAATAAACGACATTTGCCAAAACTATGTATAATATATAACTTTTCTCCATAAAAGCTTATTAAATAGTAAAACGGCGTTCCATAAATTTTTAATGAATGTCCACTGTCCAAGCATATTTTGCGTCAGTTGTCATAGGTCAGGAACAACCAGTGGCAGCCCAAAATTTGTACTTTCCTTATAAATTTTTTTAATTAAAATTAAACTTAAAACTTGTTTTACCTTGCACAAGACAGGTTTGTACTTGGTCCTCTTCCTCGCGCTCTTGGGACTGATCCTGGCCGCCAACCTGGACGCAGTCGCCGCCGTCTTGAACCCGAACCGCCTCCTGTACTCGATCCCCGGACTTCTGTCCGAACTGTAACCGCTGGCGGGGTTGCCGTCGTCGTCGCCGCCGCCGCACACCAGCAGGTTGCCGTTGTGATTGACGCGCTTGGCCTCCTTCGATTCGTCTATCATGCGTTCCACCGAGGCAAAGTACTTGGTCCACCAGTCCTTGCTGCCTTCCTCGTCGTCTGCGTCGTCGTCCAGAGTGCTGTGCTTGCTTTTCTTGTGCGGCTCCTGTTTCCACTGCGAACAAGATTTATCGCTTTGTATTTGTAAGACTTGGCATCGCCGCACTCTGCTCCGAATCGACTCCGGCCAAAACTCAAAAAGTGAATATTGGTTAAGGTTTTTGGGGTCGCTGATCACGTATTTGATATTAAAATTATCAAATTCAAAATGGCAGACTTTTTTGAAAAATGATTAAACTGCGCACCACTCAATGTGTCGCGACCAAAAAGTTCATTCTTTTTCAAAACGACATAACTTTTTTGTTTCTTGATCAACTTTATTTTTTTCTGTGATGTCTCCTAGCTCCATCGTCTGGAAATTCATGATATAGACATGAAGCTCAAGGTTCTTTAAGTAAATTTCCTACAGGGTGATATGTTAAACGGTGAAAAATTTCAATAACTTCATCCAAGCCCCTTTTCTCTCTCACCATGTTATCTGCTTGTTTTTAAAAATACTGAGTGTATTACCTACAAAAAAGCCTTAAATGTACTCTTTTGGAAAAAAATCATATTTTCTTTGCTAAGATTCCAATACGAAAAATTTGAAAACATTTTCAAGGTAAGACATAATACTTCATTATTTCAAAGTAAAAAACGAGAAACAAATTATTTTTTTACAAACGGGGCTTGGATGAAGTTATTGAAATTTTTAACCGTTTTTCATATCACCCTGTACGAAATTTACTTGAAGAACCATGAGCTTCATATCTATAGCATGAATTGCCAGATGATGGGGCTAGCAGACATCACAGACCAAAATAAAAACGTTCAAGAAACAAACAAATTATGTCGTTTTGAAAAAGGACGAACTTTTTGGTCGCGACACATTGAGTGGTACGCAGTTTAGTTTATCGCCCCGAAAATGCTAATTTTTTGGTTTTTGGGGTCGCTGATAACGAATTTAATATCAAAATCATTAAATTTAAAATGGCGCACCAAAATTAGTTTATTGCCCAAAAAATGTATATTATTGGGTTTTTGGGGTTGCTGAATTTAATATAAAAATTATTAGTGATCGACCGATACCGATACAAAAATATCGGCCATCAGGCCGATTATCGGTATCGGCCGATATACATTTACTGTAAATATCTACTATATATTCTAATCAACGAAATAAAATACGTTTTTAAACGACAAAAAAGAACTCCCATTAAATGCATGTTGCACGAACCGATGAATGTTTGAATGCTTTCTGGCAAATATTGGAATTGAAGGATTTTAAAAGCCTGTATTTTTATTTTCAGCTTTCCATTTAGGCAGCACACTTTTATCTTTATTCGTTGCTTTGAATTTGTTTGAATGGGTATGCATTTTTTGAAAACGTTGAAACCGTTTAATATTCAGCATTTTTTTAAATTAATCTTTCTAATTTTAATTTAAACTTCAACAAAAATCTTATAATAAAAGATTTTAAAAAGAAATGTATTTTTTGTTGAAATCAATTCATTTTAAATTTTTATATCGCAAGTCTCAGAGGAGAGCTTATTTCTATTGCCTTTGAAAAAACGGATATCGCTTGAAGGATAAATTTAGAAAAAGTGCTTTTGTAGCTATATTTTATACGAAAGTTTTTAGAATAATTTTCTTTGGAGCCCCACTCAACAATGCATCGACAAAGTTTATATGCTGAATAATAAAACAATGTCTACAATTGGTTTGCACACAAAAGCATTGTCGCACTTCCGACGAGGATGAACTTCGTAAAGTTCGTCTACCAATTATTTATCAATTTTTTTTTTATTTAGAAAATAACACATTATATTGTTAATGTTTAACAAATTATTTCGTTGAGAAAGTACACGTGATTTCAGGCAGTCAGTCAAAACATTTCCCACTGAAAATACGCATCAACAAGTTCAACTGACTTCAGCGTCTGCAACTTATGATTCTGCTTACTTTATTCTAATTCGTAACGTGTTCGTTACAACTATCCAGAGTGTTATAATAAATATATTACCAGAAATCTGTTATTATTTATTCGGATTCCTTATACCTATTTATCGAGTGTGCGAAGTATCCTAAAAAAGATGCCATCACTGGTTTTTAAACTGAAAATAGGGAATGCAGTGAAGTGGGTTAAAGTTACGAAATATAACAGTAACTGTGGGAGAAGTACTGAAAATTATATTGTACCAAATTTCTTTATAATTTTAAGATTTCAGAATGGTGTGTTATTTAATTGTGTGTATGTTATTTTTGTGTTCATTTATGTGTTAATTTTTTTGTTTAGGAAATTGATTGATAAAGCAACATTTCTTATCATATAAGTTCCCAATTTCCAACAAATACTTTTGCTACTGGTTTTACAAAAAAATTTTGAAAATTAGAAGAATTATGGTTGAATTGTTGACATAGGATTTTGTTATTAAATCTACAAAATGTTTGTTATAATTACAAACTACTTATCCAATTAGTTAACAGATTACAGTTGGTTTTAAACAAAATCTGGTTAATATTTGGTTAAAATAATTTTTACTGTGTACATTAATTTAAATTATTCTTACCTTGGCACTATCCTGCGTCCCATATCCAATTGAAACACTTATATCCTTCGGTAAAAGCGGACTCTTTTCCCTATCATTGCACAATAGCGCAACGTTGCTCATGGCATTTTGATTTCCCAAAGTACAGTCCATGGCTTTGAGTTGATTTAAGGACCTCTTCCTTTCATCCGCTTCCCTGTCTCGCTTTGTATACGGATGATACATGTACCTTTGCACTGAATTGATTGTGTGCGTGCCCACAAGGGTGTAGCGACCGAAACTCCTGCAATCGACAGCTCGTATCGTCAAAGGCGGCCGGTAAAGTTCCTGTTCGGGGAGATCGAGATCGAGGAACTTCACAGGACTTCCGAAGTTGGGGTTTTTCCGGTAGTTTTGGATTATAGACGATGATAGAATGTGACCGGAGCATTCAATGTCCACTCTTGGTTTGTCGACTGTTAGTAGGTGGATTCTTTTCAGGTCTCTTAGGCCCCAGAATAGCACTTCTATTCTGTATCTGGCAAGAGTTGGCCTTATCCCTTAAACAAAAATATAATTTTTTTTTTACTTTCACCTTTATCATTGTACATGTTTCCATGACACTAAGTGACCTTTTAAATACACATTGACAAGTTGTGGCTTTAAGACGCTTAAGTCACGGACTGCAGTTAGTTGACACTTGTCAAATGTCATACAATAGTTAAATAAAGTGCCTTTCTTGTAAAATAATACTAAATGTGAACATTATTTTATTATCTCATACAAAAATACAAAAGTATTAAATAGTTTGAATAGATTATATACACAGAAAAAAATCTAACATAGTACCAAGAACAGCGCTGTCATTGAATGCATTAAAATTGAAGCAATCTAAATTGTTATTTGCTCAATTAATTACTATTAAACCAAAATAGGGAAATGTATACATACTATAGTAACGTTATTAAATAAATCAAATTAGTATTTAATGCAATAACATTTTAACATTCTAACAAATAAATATCAATTTGAATATCAATAGATTTAGGAGCGATAACTTTTGTTGTTAATTTAAAAACAGTAAACCATTATAAACCAAGTGCTAACTACCCATTATAGGAACTGTTATTTAGGAATACGGATTACAAGGTCCCATTGGTTTAATGGCTCACCCATTCATGCTATGCTAGCGTTTTTTCTGTGTATCAATATATTAGTACTATTATTAGTACATAGAAAAAGTATTTTATGCAACTCGCTTATAAACTTTTCTATACACTCATTAATTAAATTCGTGTCTAAAATGTCGTTTATCAAACTGTACATAATATACTATTTTGCAAAAAAGGAACAGAGAAAATTTAAAACAAAATCCAATTCAAAATAACCAGGTTGAATAAAAATAAAGACCACTTATATATGAATGTAATTTCAACTTTAAATAAAGATAAGGAAATTTTATAACATAATATTGTTTCGCTAAACTTTACTAAATGTAAACCATCTACTTTGAATTGCAAATGAAATCCATATTTTTAATGTAAATCTACATTGAAATATTTGAATTCATTTCAGGTTGTAAATTCGAATTGCATTTATTATAGAAAATTCCAAAAGTTCAGGATTGGTTTCAAAAAGGTTTTGTGTGCCGAAACTTTTCCGGCATTATTAAACGGTAAATTTAAACTTTTGCAATTAAATAAAAAGTTTAACAAGAAATTGATTAAAACAATAATTCCTTAAAGAAGAAGTATTCCATTTCAATTTTGGATACAATTGTTTATTCCCTGAACAAATTAGGTTTAACATTGATATGTATTCTTATTTTTTTCTGGCGATACGGTAAAAATGCAATTTTTCTAAAACCTCAAGAGATTGTGTCTGTATTCAATTTAAGTGTACAAGATAATGGTGGCTAGACTCTAGAGGTTGAAATTTAAATCTTTTGAATAGTTCTCTACGATTTTTTGTATTCGTTTTATTTATATGAGTTTATAAAAAGTTCATCTTTTGATTTGTTATAAGGTTTATTAATTTATAATTTGTTTATGATATAATAACAACTTTACATTTTGACGATTTTTTGTCAAACTTTCTTTTGTATAAATTATAATTTTTTTACATTAATAATTAAATTTTTTTATACTTTTAGGTTTTAATGAAATAATAATTATTGGAAATTTATGATTTTTTTTCATATTCAATAAAAAATTAGTAAAATCATATAAAATATATCCTTTAATTTTTGTATTTTCTATATAAATTTTGTATGAATTTTTTGTGCCTTATTGTTTTTATATTTTTAGAAGATTTTATTTTTTATGAAAATATAATTTAAAATCGACACGATTTTTGACATTTCTTATGAAATATTTTTTTATTTTTTTTAATAAATTTATTAAATTGCTAACAATTTTTAAGAAACTTATTTTTTTGTGATATATCTGAATATTGTAAATGTTTATTTTCTATGACATTTTTTTACATTAGGTACAGACGGTGTGATCCCCTATAATGTCGCCCCCCTTTAACTTTTTTATTTTAAGTGTCCGAAAAAAGTGTGGTTATATAGGTACTAAAAAATACTTTTTTTTTCATATAAAGAAAATTGGAAAATTGATCAGTATACAGGGAAAACAAAAACTTTATTTTTTTTCAATGGATCCAATATATGGGTTATTCTCAAAATAACTACAATCTTTGCGTGACGTGTGTTTTTTTCTCCCATATTAAAAAAAAATGGTAAAAATAAGTAACATTTTTAAAGTACACAACGTTAACTAACAGTACTTTAAGTAAAAAAAAATAATAAAAAAATACCCCCCAAAAAACTGATCTGAATAGAGATATTGTCCTTTCCGTGGAACGTGACTATATCATGTTGGTAAGTTTCAGTTAATGTAGTGAAAAGCCTGCATATTAAAAAAACCTAAAAAATTGCCATTATTATTAAATACCCCAAAAATACATAGATATGGTTCATATTCCTTTTTATTCTTTTTTCGATCCATTCCGAGGACTTATTTGTAAGTGCAAAATTTCAAAAGTATTTCGCGCCACTCACGTCAACCGTTAATTTTATGTCATTAAAAAACCTGTCATTTGTTATTTAAGTCGCCCTTGTCAGTTCTTTTTTGAAAGGTTGTAAAGAAGCGTTCATGTTTATGTACGAGGCTCCAGTGTAGAAGCATAGGCTGTCCTTTCTGTTACAATTATATTTCAAACAGTAAGTATTGAATTATTTTCTAATTATTGTCATTATTATTGTCAGTTTTTATTTTTGGCACATGACAAATGCGAAGGCATAACCTAAAATTTACCTTTCTTATAGAGAATAATATACATAGATGTCCATTCAGTGGACGTCTTTTCTGTGGACATAATTTACCCATAAATAGAAAAATTAAGGTTTGCATGCAATATCAATCTTATTTTAGTTTAGGATTTAACTAAAGCTTTACAAAAATGCTCTTGTAATAATATTACCAAACTTTTTAGTATTAAAAAAATAATAAACCGAAAGTGTAGTTATTTTGAGAATCACCCATATGTATTTTTCAATTTCTTGTAAAATTCTAAGCATATTTCATATAACATACCATATACCTAAATTCAACCGTTTTTGAAATATTTAAATTATTTTTAAGATAATAAGTTAAAATAGTTTGTCTTTCTCTGTATTTTTTAGTACCTACATAACCAAACTTTTTTCGGACTCTTAAAATTATTTATTTATTAAAAATTTAAATGTTTTTTTACCATATTTAAAAAAATCGTAAAATCATATGAAATATATTTTTTAATTTTTTGTGCTTAATTTATTTTTTATAGGTATTTTATTTTTTTATGAAAATATAATATTATATAATTTTAAATTGACAACCCTCCGTGGTTGAAACGAAATTATAAAAAAAAATTTACACGATTTTTGAAATGTTTTATGAAATATTTTTCAATAAATTTATTAAATTGTTATATCTAAAGATTTTGAGTGCTTGAGTTTTATATGATATAATAATTACATTTAATTTGGAAGTTTTTTACATTAAATATTTGTTTTTTTACTGCCCTGCCTGGCAACGGAATCCCAACCCAGTCAGAAATCAGTAATTTACCAATTTTAAATTCACTGTGGTTTGAACCAATCAGGTTTTAAAATGGAAAAATGAGGTAGGTATAGATAATACATTTTGTTATTAATGAACATTTATGAAATAATGAAACTTTTATATTAAAAAAATCGTTTTTTAGATGAATTAATTGATATTTAAAATTTGCCATGTTTGTACTTTTTAAACAAACTCATTAAATTTGTATTGCTTATATTAATGGGGTAGTTAATTTTTTTCTGACCTATACTTTTTATGGTTTTATTCAAGGCGTTTTGTAATTTTAAACATTTCTGTGAAATCGGAATTGCAATTGAGTTTACCGTTTTCGAGATATTTACAAAAAAAATCTCCTAATTACGTCACTAGGCTATTGACAACGTTGCCAGCTTTTTCTATAGTTGCCAGTGTGTTTAGTTTAAGATTCTTACGATAGATGGCGCCACGTTATAATATTTTAATTTTAAAACTACTTGATCTATAATTTTAGTTGAGAAGAAGAAGAAGAATTGATTTTTTGACGTTTCTTTTTTTCGGGTTATGTTTTTTTTTTTAATTTAGATTATTGAAATTCAATGTTATTGTTATGTTATTTGTAATTGATATTAGATAAGTGATTTATTAATAACGGACTCCAAAGCAGAGGAATCTTGTGGAATGGTTGGTTACATTGAACATTGGAGCTTATAAACAAATAAAGTAAGTACCTATAATTATAATCATATTTTGTCGTAAATGCATTTCATTAGTATAATGCCTAGTTCTTTATATTCTTTTAGATATATCTTGGACTCTAAAATATCAAACAGTAATATGATACCTCGTAATAAGGAAGATAGGTAGGTACTTAATGAATTTGATGACCATCTTTCACTCAACTGACAGTGACAGTATTTGTACATAACCTCTTCGGGTATTTTCTGACATAACCGAATGAAATCATTAACAAGAGAACTTGACAACAGGGTAATTTTCAACCAATAGAAATCTTAGAATGTTGGTCACATGGCGAGGTTTGTGACGTCATAAAAATTTATATTTTTTGTAAATATCTCGAAAACGGTAAACTCAATTGAAATTCTGATTTCACAGAAATGTTTAATATTACAAAACGCCTTGAATAAAACCATAAAAAGTATAGGTCAGAAAAAATTTAACTACCCCGTTAAAACCCTTTTAAAGACATTCTAAAAAACAAACAAGACAAACAAGTTTTGTTGATTTGATGTTTTTTGACTGTTTTTCTTTCCTTAAATTTGGTTTATTTTTATTTGGTAAATACACGTATCCTCATAGAGGAATCCTTGCTCACCTCTGGGCACCGGAAGCAGCGACGTCACGTCTCGCGGGTCCGTTTCCTTGTACATGGGGATGTCCTTGGGATGCGGCAGCGACGGCAAGGGAGCGGCGTCGGCGGGAATCTCCAGCAGCTCGAACGCCGCCAAGAGCTCTCCCGCGTGGTCGCTGCCCCTGCTTATCGCGAACCACTCGAGCGAGGGCGGAAACGACGGCTTGCAGTAAGCGTCGTCCCGCAGGTTGACGTGGGGTTTGGCCAACGCTCTGCCTGAAAAAAGTTAATACTTAACTCACTTTCTTAAAAGAAATACACAAAAATAAGAAATATACAGGGTGAGTTTTAAGTTGACGCGTTCCTTTTAACAGCGTGTAGTAATCAGATAGACAAATAAATATTTTAAGTAACTTTTTTATCAAAACTCAAAAATAAGCGAGTTATACCCTTCAAAGTTTAATTAAATTTTGAGCCGGTCCTGGCTATTGTTAACAAAAAAACATAACCATAAAAATAAAAATAACAAAATAAACAATGCAAAATGTCATCTATCACAACAAGCATAACCATTTAAATCAAAATGACATTTAGCAATGAAAAATGTCATTATTTACTTAAGTTTTTTTGGGCCTCAATTATTTTTAAAAATGTGCAATTTTGGTTTAAATGGTTATGTTTGTTGCCATAGATGACATTTCGCATTGTTAATATTTATTTGTCTATCTGATTTCAACACGCTGTTAAAAGGAACGCGTCAACTTAAAACTCACCCTGTATAACAAAATAATTTTTCATTAAAAAAAATATTTTAAAAATTATTAAGTTTTGGTGATGGTATAAGAAAAATTGTGTTACATTTTATATTTTTTTACTCCAATTTTTTAAGCATTTGTTAGTGTTAGAAAAAAAGAATTTTTGCCTAATCAAATACTTTAGTAGGGCAGCTAATTACAGTAAAAAAATATTAAATTATTCCCCTTTAAATGCGGCAATTTTTATTCGATTTTATCAAAATTGTTGCTTCATCTATCTTCTTTATCGTGTTAAAATTTCAATGCAATCAAATAAAAATTGACAAAATGGCACCCAAATGCGCCGCTCGTGAAATAATTGGTAATTACGGTTACATCCGCTCATGGCGCGTCATGCCCGTCTACGACTTGATAATAATAATAATTTTTATTTTCAAAGGACAATTTTCAAAATTGCAATTAATTTTTGGGATTTTATTAATGGAACAAAAACTTTTTTCATTCAAATATGAGGATTCCGCTTTTTTAAATTTAAAGAAGTTTTTTAATACCCTCAAGTAATTTATTATACAATGACACCAAGTTACCTTTTAAATACCTACACATTGACAAGTTGTGGCTTTATAGCGCTTTGGTCACGGGCTAAAGTTAGTTTTAAGTAAGTTGACAGTTGTATATCTAGTAATATTTTACAAGATTTTAAAGATTGTTGGACATTTAACAACTACACAGAAAAAAATCTAACATAGTACCAAGAACAGCGCTGTCATTGAATGCATTCAAATTGAAGCAATCTAAATTGTTATTTGCTCAATTAATTACTATTAAACCAAAATGGTGAAATATTTTGCCTAAATGTCAAAGAATTTATTGTGTTAAATGTATACATAGTATACATACAATAGTAACGTTATTAAATAAATCAAATTAGTATTTAATGCAATAACATTCTACCATTCTAACAAATAAATATCAATATGAATATTAATAGATTTAGGAGCGATAACTTTTGTTGTTAATTTAAAAACAGTAAACGATTATAAACCAAGTGCTAACTACCTATTGGTATTATAGGAACTGTTATTCAGGAATACGGATTACAAGATCCCATTGGTTTAATGGCTCACCCATTCATGCTATGCTAGCATTTTTTCTGTGTATCAAGTAACTTAAAACAAACTTCAGCCCGTAACTAAAACGCCATAAGGCCACAACTTGTCAATGTGTTTTTAAAAGGTCACTTATTGTCATGAAAACATGTACGATAATTGGACGCCTTTCTGCAGAATGGGACCAACCCACACCCTGACAAAACTGAGAAAACATGTATCAAATATTTAAATAATTTTAAAATTATCTGTAAATTTTATGCCGATTTTGGACTTATGGAGGTTTAAGGGATATAATTTAATAATTTCTTCAGTTTGAATTTTTTATATTATGTGTAAAAGTAATGGGAAAAATAGGCTTTTGTTGGTTGGTTCCTTTCTGCAATTTATGGAAACTACTATCTGATTATAAGTCAAATGTATGTATTCAAAGAAAAACGACAATTAATTATTTTTAAACAATAAACAAAATATGATTATAACTTAAATTAACTGATATTACAATTAAAATAGTAATATCAGTTACTTTTGACTTTCTGCTTCTATTTGAAAGTCGGGGGTCCCTGTAAATCCGTCCACATCATCTTCCAACCCCTCTTCACCTTGTAAGCTACTAAAAAAATGTTTACAATCCTGGGGTATCAGATGCATTACGGATTTTTATCTTGTAGTTTAGGTATAGATATTTTTTACCATTTGGCCACATCAGAAGCAAAAAAAAGGATTTGGTAGTGGGTCTACCAACCTGCTTTTTTATGTTAATCTCAACACATGATGTATCTTCAAAACTTTTTTAAAAAATATTGAAAATGGCTTGGTTTTATCAAGGCATATTTCACACGCCTCTAACCAGCTCACCTTTTCTTTCGGTTACATATTAAATTTTTCTCAATTTCTGCTGTGCCGTAAAAATCTGCACGACTCATGCGCGAAACTAGAATCTTATTTTTTGTGCGGCATTCTTCCATAACTTTAATATAGTCTCTGTTGATGTTTTAGAGCACATTCGACATCTGAAAATCGTTTGGAAGAACAAAACAACACATTATGCTTTCTCCTATTTTGAATTTCAAAATTTGATATTTGATAAAATTTATTTAATCCATAGCACAGAATATTCTGTGTCCATAGATTTTTATGATTTAATACTGTTTTGCAGAAAAGATCCAACCCACTTGGATCTATTCTACAGATTCTTATACACAATATTATTGAATTGGTGGGTTCTATAATATATAATATAATTAATAGATTTCACTACACTTGCATTGTGGCTATGACCTATTTTGCAGATAAATTTTACATACTTAATTAGTTCACAGGCTAAAGATCTCGATTTTTTTAGTTTTGTGGGTTGGTTCCTTTCTGCAGAAAGGCGTCCAATTGGCGTTTTAAATTTTTTAATACAATATCCAAAGACAATATCCCGGCGCATTCGCCATTTTTGACAAACTATTAAACGTAATATCCATTCACGTTCTTTATGGAAAACATGGTGAATGTTGCAAAATATGCAATAAAAAACTCCCAGTTTAAATAGATTATATTTGCTTACCTATAAATTCGGACTTTCCCACCTTGTCCTGATCGAATATTTCGATGATTATCTCGGGCGGGTCGCGCTTTATCTCGTCAGCCTGGCCGTAGATCAGGATCTCGTTAAAGATTAGCAGCTCGTCCCACGTCGGACTTAAAGTTTCATCAATTACCTGCAGAAACACCGAAAGACGTGAGTATACAATTTAATAGGTTTACTTTACTTTTAGTTTAAGGATGTAAGGGATAATTAATTTAAAAATATATTATTATTTTTTAAAGGTTTTGTTGATAGGTACCCATAATATTTTGCCACAATTTTTAACATTTTTGGACTTTTTTATTATTTAAGATTTGTTAAAATTATCTACAAATCCTACTAATTTTGTATGGGTATCATTTTTCTTCGTAGATCTACAAGTTCGGTTAAGTAAGAGAAAAGTTGCAAGCCTATTAAAATAAAATTTGAAAGTTGAAACAAAATCAGCGGTTCAGATAGTTTAAAAAAAAACTGGTTAATTGTAACTCGAAATCTAGTAGGCGAAAAAATCACAAATTGGATAAAAATGTAGATTTTTGGTTTGCACAGGTTTTTATTTTCTTTCAAAAGTTTTGAGAAAGGTTGTTTTTTTTTAATTTTAAAATTTAATTTAAAAATTGCTATATAAGTTAATAGAGTTAATAGAGTTACAGGGTATCCAAATGTTTGAAACTGTCAAAAACAAAAAAATTAAAATCAAATAAAATTTTCGTTATTTAAAATAAAAATCTACATGTACGATGGTTTTTTAAATAAAATCCATGTTTATAAAGTTCCTTTATTCGAGCTAAAGTGGTAAATCTCCTTAGGGAATTTGTTTTGGGGGTTGCATGTAGATTTTTACAGATTTAATCCCAGATCAAATTTTGTATTGCAGTGTCAAGATAAACCATCTTAAAGAATAACTAGAAAACAAATCCATCATATAATAAAAATAAAAAATTAAATAAAGACAAAACAATTGTAGTTTTTAGTTTTTTTAAATATTTTTTAGAAATTGTTCCCTATAAAAAATTTTATTTATGTTTAATGTTTAATGTTTTTATTTTGTAAGCAAATTAAAATATTTAAAACTTTATTTTATCAGTGCGCACGTTAAAAGGACAAAAACCATACAACTTTTAAACGTCAAATTGATAGGTGCCTATTTAAGGAGTGCCAAGAGGGCATCATCAACTTAAAAATTTCAAATGGAATGGGAGCTTTTGATTCCCCATCTAAAATCTAAAATCTGTTTAATGGTTACTAAGATGTTTAAATAAAATTAATGATCAAATCAAATTTTTGTTTTTATTTATTTAGTACAAGGTTTTTATTTATTAGGTACAATAAATTACCAATTAATTATCAAATTAGTTAAACATTTTGAGAAAAAAATAGTATGTTTCTATAGGTAGCTGCCTAGGACTGCAAGAAAATTTATTATTTTGAAAAACTCAAATGCTCAACTGTTAAATAGTATACTTAATATTCTTGACAATGGTTTTTGCCTAAAACCTTTTAGATGAAAAATAAAATTTATTTTGCAAAAAAGTTAATATTTCTTCATAAAAACGATTTAATTAAACTATTAATAAATAATAATTAATGAACAGTTTCCAACTTACCTGCGTAGTTTTGCTGAATTCTCCGGCTACGACCCTTGCAAAGGGGTCGCTTAGACCGGAAGCATCGCTGCCAATCAGCGATCTCGCCTGGTAAATATGGGCCCTCAACTGAAATACCTGCAACAATCGCAATCGATACCATATAAATATGTAATTGATTCACCAAGTTAACCAAGCGAGTTACAACACTTTTGCATATTCGTCGGGTTTTGCAACTTACGTGTTTGTCAATGTAATGTATGACCGACGGCGGCATGGCTCTCGGCCTCTCGACGTTCCTGATTTCCTGCGTAATTTCGTAACCCTTTGGCAAACCGTTGATGAAGTTCTTTTTGTGTTTCAGCATTCCAAGCCACAGGTATATTTGAAGCTTGGCTGGGATTGTCCATCCGCTGGGGCCCGTGCCTTTTTTACCTGGAAGCTGAGGGACAAACCATAAATATTTTAATTTTCAATTATATTTTGTTATTATATACATTCAAATTTAACAGTATACGGTAAAGTAGCATCGCTGCACATACTGGTATTTGCTCATTTTTTCTCGCTTATTTTTTGTCTAAATTTCAAAATTGCATGATTGAATAGAGAGAAATATGCTTTTTTATAATCAACAAAAAACAATGTATGCCATTAAAAAAAATTGCCATGAAAACAAAATAAAAAAGATAAAAATAAACTAAAAAACTCAAAACATGCTTGGTAATGAACCAAATAACTTTTATTTTGAACTTTTTTTTAACTTTGCAAATAACAGTTAAAGCCATTATTTGATAATTTTGTTCCACCCTGTATAAGCGTTGAGTTTTTTAATCAATGGTATAAGAAATAATAAATCTAAATCGATTACTTAATCAAAAATTTGCATTGTTTACTTACAATACGAAACACAAATAACGTGCGCGATTTGAATTGAATTGAAGACTGTCTTTTGTGAAAAAACTACTTATTTATTTAAAAATGATGTATAATCTGTGCTTTAAATGTATTGTTGACAATTCTTAAATTCAGGCAATGCATTCGAAGTCCACCAGATGGCGCGCGCGTTGCAAAAACCCGATGCCTCTTTAGGCATTTTCGGCGCATTCGCCATTTTTGAAACTTTATGTTGATTTAAAAGTACGTCGCTAGTTTTAAAAACACCTTTTTTATGACATTAAAAAATACTAGCTAGAAAAAAGCAGGCAAAAAATTAAGTTGGTAACTTAAAACACGTTTTTAAATATGACTTTTATAAGTTAAAAACTAATAAAATTATATTTTAATTTATGTAAAGTACTCTTTTCTTGCAAGCTCAAGTTACTCATGAATTATGCATTGGTGCAAAGCTTACAAATTACGTTGTTATTTAAGAAAAACCAATATTTTAATTTAGTTTATGAAAATGACGTGACGTCGCACAGTGGTCAAAAACCGTTTTTATTTTATATTGAATTCGGTCAAAACCTTTTGGAAAAATATTATTTGAGTTATTTTTCTTACCTTGAGGAACATGGTTCTAACTTTTCCGCAATCTTTGCCGCACTCCTCGTCCACAATGGAATATATGATATCTCTCGCGGGAATCCGTTGGTACGCCTGTCGCTTGCCTCCGCTGATAATCCAGAAAAACACGTCGGGTAAAGCGTGCTGCGGCTGCAACATGTCAAAGGCAATTATTTTCCGTCCCCTATCCCATTACAATAGGCTTCAAGATAAATAGATGGAAAGAGAACCAAGGTAAATAAAAATGAATAGAAAAGGTTGAGGAGACAAATACTCATCCCATCTATAAAATCGGATTTGTTAAAATGAGTTTGTAGTTTGTTAGTTTATTAAGAGTCAAAACATTTCCCACTGACAACAAGTTTAACTACGTTTAGCGCCTGCAACTTATGTTTCTGCTTACTTTATTCCAATTCGTAACGTGTTTGTAACAACTATCCAGAGTGTTTATAATATATTACCAGAAATCTGTTGTTATTGTTATTCGGATTACCAAATTTCTTTACAATTTGATGATTTTAGAATGGTGTGTTATTTAATTGTGTATGTTATTTTTGTTTTTTTTTGTTTGTTTTGGTATGTGTTAATTTTTATGTTTAGGAAATTGTTTAATAAAGCAATATTTCTTATTAAAATTCTTTTCATTTAAGTTTACAATTTCCAACAAATACTTTTGTTACTAAGCCTACAAAAAGAATTAGGTTGAATTATTGACAGGGTTTTGTTATTAAATCTAAAAAATATTTGTATATAATTACAAACTACTTATTCAATTAGTTAACACATTATAGTTGGTTGTAAATTTAACATTAAGTTATGTGGACCTGGATTAACACAAAATCTGGTTAATATTTAGTTAAAACTAACAAACTATGTAGAAAGACAAATAAAATGTTTGTATTTATTAAGAATACTTTTTAAATATACACAATTGTGTATATCACTCTTAGGAGTGACCAAGTGAAATTTATCATGTTATACAATTGAGTAGAAACTTCCCAAATGTGACAGTCATTTTATAAAAATTAAAAAAAAAAGATCGTAAGATTTCATAAAAAATGATGTAAATATTTCACTTAAAAACGTTATAGGTACTCAACCCTTTATTATACCAAAGTCTGAATTATTTTTGTATTTTAAAATATATAACATCAACACTCAACCACTTTAGAAGATAAGCAGATCTCTTTGTAAACCTTCAAGAAATGTAGCCATATAAAAGCAAATGTAGCCATATAAAAGCAAGACTTTAAAGCACAAAAGCTACTTTATAACATATTGTATTAAAATATTTATTTTTTATTCAGGAAATATTCTTATGTGTTAACACTCAAGCAATTGATATTTTCAATTATATAATAAATATCATAATATTTTATTGAATTTAATTTTATATTTGTATTTTTTAGTTAAACACATATTTTTAATTTGCTAAATTAAAAATATCATAGAAGAAATTTTTAAATGCATTAAAAATATCATCTTTATCAATCAGTAGGAATTAGTAAAATCACATTCAATTAAAAATATCTGCTTATTTAATGAAATAAAAGTTAAATCGAATTAAAAATGTCTCCTATGATATTATTAATACAATTAAAAATTTCTACTGTATTATTTTTAATTAAGCGAAATAATTCCTAAAAAAAATTATAAAACGGCGCCCCATACAATTCCAAAACTCCAACCAAGACCCACAAATTATTTAAACTAGTTATACTCACGTCTTCGGTAAGAAATTTGAGCTTTGTTAAGTAACCCTGGGCGGTTTTGTAGCGTTCCTTGAAGGAGCTCTTTGTTACCAGCGCTCGTAGGTTCCTGGACGCGTTCCCTATGTGTTCCTAAAGAAACGAGAAAAAAATAACATGAAGATGTTATTAGCAGTTAAAATGATTATACCCATAAAGAAAGTTTAAGGAAATATATATATAATTTACCTCATTTTTTAAGTAGCCCTCTGTTTATTATAATAAACAGAGGGCTACTTAAAAAATGAGGTAAATTTGGTTTTAAAATATTTTAAAACTTAAATTCACCTTAAAAATGTGGAATATTTTATAAATATAAAGTTATATTTAAAAAAAAAACATATTTTAGTACAAAGCTTATTTTTTTTGTAACACAAAGAGTAGCTTTACCATCTTACACAACATTAAAAACTAAAATAAATATTGATTTATTTTTTGAAAGGTGTAACGTTAGTAATTGATGCTAGCACAAAAGGAAATAAACATTTTTCTTTCAAATCCTGCTTGCACCTCGTTATATATTACGAGTGTTACAATTCTTTCTTTAAGAAAGAAATACCCACGCCATTGTAAATTCTAATTTAAAGCTAAATAAACCATTATTAGACAAAAAACCTGCGAGTGTAATTATTTATGTTGGTAGTTATTTTTCTTTAGCCTAACTGAAAAAAATTGTCCTGCAAATTTATGAAAGTAGGACAAACAATACAATTGAAAAAAGATTAAATTTAAAATGAGACGGTGTTAAGCTGTGACGTCACTTCCGTCGCCTGCTAATATTTTACGCTCAATTCGACAAAACTTTTTAAAAAATTACTTAATTTAATGGTTGAGACGAAACATTTTTTTTCCATAATTTTTAACAAACTCTTATGTCGGCATAATTCAAGGAATTTTTATGCGAAAAAATATCACGTTAAAACCCTAGACCTACGCTTAGCTACGCTTAAACTTAATAGTTACAAAATCAAATACTTATGTCATTGTAAATGTATCATTTTTATTAATAATTTCATTTATAAATGTATGTAACTTACAATTTCTCTTTGGCACAGTTTAAGATGCTCCTTGTCCAGTTTGGTTTTTCCTGTGCCAGGTCCTGACACCGACCCTTTGGACAAAGTAACATACTTTGTGCATCCGATGGAAAAGTCCTCGAGCACCTGTTTCAAGTGAGTTTCCGCGTCGGGATCTTCAATCTCCATCGCAGAACTCACTTCTGACAGACCTTCTTCCTGAAACACAAGTTTTTTGCTTGTTGCATCAAATGTTGAAAAAGTTTTGTATGTTTTATTAAAGGTCAAAATATTACTATTAAACCGTATCTACCATGTCAAGCATATTTAAATTGTGTTTCATGGATTACTAATGATTTACTTGATGTTGTGTCATAATTATAATTAATGATTATAATAATTCTTATTAATGGTATTGTAAATTTCTATATTCATAAATTATTATTTATTGCAGAGATTTATTAAACTATTAATGCATTTATCAGTTTTAAATTTGATACATATAAAAATTAGCTAAAAATCTCCGAATCACTTACCATTTTTTCAACGATTTTGGAGATCATATTGGCGTTATACATCCGCTTCCGGTAATCGGCCCACACCGACCGGATGTGCATGCAGGGCTTATTATCCCAATACGGAAGGAAGTAGTAGAGTTTATCGTGCGTCATGGGTTTTGAAGGTGTGGTAGTGCTTTGCCAAGACGCGCTGTCAGAACAAATCACTTCTGAAAAAAAAAACAAATATTAAATTTTTTTTTCTTAAATTTTGTCTTTATCTTGCAGTTTTTTTTAATAAATATTCTTTAGCATTTTTTATGTGGGGTCTTTTTAAAAAGAAAAATTTACGTGTATATTGTGTTTCGGTTTCGTTTTCGTTTTACCGCTCTGTATAAATTTAATTAATAGAAATTTCGAAGAGACATGATAAAAATACATTAGTTTCGGACCCAGATTGTCCTAGTTGCATACAAACTCTTGTTTATGACATCCCAGTTTGAAATCCGCATAGAATCGCATCGAATATTCCACATTTCTGGAGGTTTTAATAGTTTCATATTTCAAATTCCATCCATAATGAATAAAATGATTAAAGTTTCAAACGGTGTAATAAATTTGTTTTGAAATTGGTAACGATTTTCTTTCCAGAGTCTTAACTTGATTCGATTTGTTATTTCAAAAACAAACTTTCTATGACACAAAAAGATCTGTTACTAATGTCTTTATATAAGAGTATACAGACTTTCTGGTTGAGAAAGCTTTTACTTCATAATAAAAAGTCAATCTTCCAGCTACCTGAATTTGCCATTTGTTACTTGGAAAATGCTTGTCTTAAATTTGTCTTGAATTGTTATTATACTTTTCCTGACGGGAAATTGAAAAATGAACAATATTCTGCGAAAATTATTCTTGCAATATTTCCATAACATTAAACAAGATAATTAAGTTATTTTTTTATTTATAGAAGATCATTATCAATCGTATATATTTAAAAATTCCATTGCAAAAAACATAATAAAATAATGTACAAAACTTCAATAAAACTAAGCGCCATTTTAAAGAAAATGGAATGCCCTTTCAAAAGATGTATTATGTCCCCCTGAAAAAAGTTGCTATGCTGTTTTTGATATAATCCAGTCCTTAGGCATTAACTTATTACGGTTAACAGGATATTAAACAACTAAAACCAACTCCAAGTATAAATTTTAATTAAGATTTTATCTTACCCAGCTCATCACTGTCGGAATCATAGTGCTCCCTGGCGGACTCATTGTGACCGTCGATAGCGTTTCCAGCATTTCCGATGCTGATCTCGAAATAGACGGGTTTATCTCCGAGTTTCTTGTCGATCATGGACGCGTCTAAAATCGTGGCAAATAGGAAAAACTCCTCGTTTTTGGCGTAGGAGGCCTCGTTCACTGGCACTGAAGGTTCGATTTCCACCGCTGCCGGAGCCAAGTCAACGTTGTCAGTGATCTCGGTCCGAATTGAGACCAGAAGGCGAGCTCTGGAATATAATAAAGAGTTTTTAATCCCAATGCGTACTGTTACACATCAGACCCTTTTTATAGAGCGTTACATTTTCTACAAAAATATGTCATTCTCATTTGACAATATTTATTTTTTAATGTTACAAAATTATTTAAAAAAATGGACTAAAGAAATAATGGAAAAGGAGAATATATAATTTACATGGTGTAACTAAAATTCTTGACCAAACAAAGAATTTTGATTACACCCTGTGTAATGGTGTATCTATAACTATTTTAATTTATTCTTTTGACATACTTCTCTAATTTATTGGGTGTAAAAATTTTCCAACACTAAACGACATAAACTAATTTGCATGTTTTATCTTCCATCAATAACGGCCGGATGATGCGCAATTTTTATCATACTTTTATAAAAATGAAAAATGGTTTTGAGTGAATCGACATCACTGCAGAGAAAATATTTTCATCGGGTTTATTGTGGTACGATAAAACACTCTATTTTCATTTTTCATTTTCAAGCAGGTGTATGATAATGAATTGTAAGTGTACGTCAATGTATTGGTGTTGAAAATTTGTCAAGGTAAATTGAATTTGTTTTCGAGATACAGGGTGTTTAAATTAATTAAAAACATATTATCATCCCACTGCTTTTTTATGAGTTTGATATTATTTTTTATATTATTTATTGATATTTATCCTCTCGTGACCATAATTTTTTCAAGGGCGAGCAAATAAACGAATTTTATTTTTTTTTCTTGAAAATTAAACAAGATAGAGAAAAATTCCATTTTTAATTGCCCAATCTAAAAATAATAATATTATTCTATATTTATAAAAAAACAGTACCGTACCCAAATTAATTTTTAAATATCTGTTTGGGATGCGCCTGTTTTAACCAAATTAAATTTTATTACATTAACCCTTTACCCATTACCTTTGAAAAGTTTTATTAAATTCGGCCAATGAGTTTTTGATATTTTTTTAATAAATATTTTTTAATAACTTCACCACCCTGAAAACAAAGCTTTTCATCACTTAAGTGTTAACAAATAAGAATAATTCCTAAATAAAAAATAAAATGGCGCCCCATATTTAGTTTACCATTCACAAATTTCAAAGAATTAAGCAAAAATAATCAAGTTAATAGAAACTTTTATAATACAAATTTTCTATTTTATATTATTGTCATTACTTCGAACTCAAATAGCTAAAATGATATTTTATTCTACTCGTCGTTGGTAAAATTAGGTTACAACCTAGTGAATAATTAAGTTACAAACCCTAATAGCACCATTAGCTATTAAACATCTTTATGTTACAGAAATTTCCATTAATTAAGAAACTTTCAGGAAATTAATGTTTTTTTTTTCAAAATTTTCATTATAGGTAACAAGTCATTTTTTGAGTTTTATAAATTTTGCAATTGGGTTGGGTGTTTTATTAAAGATCGAGTATTTTGTATTTTAAATGCGGTTTCTTTAAAAAAAAGTGAAAAATATTTTTGAATAAAAATTGTATGCTCTTCTTGACTTCAATTCTAATTTTTTGGGCTGTAAAAATTCTAAATTTGTTTTTTTATAAATATTAATTTTTTTATAAATTATGGATTCCCCTGTGCAAATTATTACATTAGGAGTAGAGTTTAAACTAAGCTCAGTTAATAATACAATTTTTTAATATATTTACAAATATTTCTAAAGTATTTAATTGTTATTTAAGTCATAAAGCTAAGAAGTCTCAAAGTTTATCAAACGATTTATTTATTTTTAAAAGAATTTTTTGATTGATCCCAATCTAGAAGGTAAGACCTTATTGGTTTAAATTATTTAGAGCCCAGGCAATAATTAATCACTTTAGTATAGAATTTTGACAAAAATAATGTTTAAATTATAAAACGATTGAACATAAAATTAAAATTAATTCTTTAAAAATATTTGGTGTACCTATATAGATTATGAAAATTTTGGTGCCTCTCCCGGCACCTCCACCATTTCTGCAAGTTTTGTATTAAAATAACTAAGTAGTAGAGTAAATAATGTTTTTAGGTCAATACACATTCCATAAAATAAATAAATTAAATTATACTAATGGCAATTCTCCCCAAAAGATAACATAGCATTGTTAAATTAAAGGAAAACTTATTATAAGCAAACCATAAGATACCTAAGTAGAAAACTTAATTAAATGGACCAACAAATTTTCACTATGCTTTGTGTATAGAACAAAGGATATACTTATTTATAATGTACAAACTACTTAATTAACCCTTGTAATCATCTGCATATTAAAACACCCTTTTAGCCGGGACGAACTATAAGTAAAAGTGCGTATAAGCGCCTAAAAGTTTATTTTTTTAACCGCTAGACTTAAATTTTACCATGTTAAACAAGACATTATTACCAATTTTTTTTAATGACTTAAAAGGTTCACATTAAGTCATTTACACTTTAATAATTGTCAAATCAGATTTTATTTCGTTAAAAATAGCTTAAGAAAGTCTATATTTTTTAAATTATTTAAATTAACAATGAAAACTGCAATCACTTTTTTAACCAGTTTATTAATTATCGTCGGTTAAAAAAAAATTCCCAATTAACCAAAGCTGTGGTTAATTTACAAAAAAGTTATATTAAAAATTAAACTAAAGCAAAATATGTAAAAAAATAATATTCTCAACCATTTTCGAAGGTTAAAATTATAAGTTAATTTAACGATATAAATGTAACTAAAAGATATGTCCTATTATTTCCGTTAAAAAGTTGTCAATTTAGGGCAAATAAAAATGAAAAGAAAATATTATTTTCCAACAAGTAATAAAAACAAAATTTAAAACAAACTTACCTATAGGAAACCCCTTCTCCTAGTCCCGTATTAAGACTGGAGTGTTCGTCTATGAGGCTGTAGTCCCGGGTGGAACCGTACAGGTGAATAAACGAGGGACCGAACGTGGGCAGAAATCCTGTAAAGTAAGCAGGGACAAAAGTCGAGTCACGTATTCTTCACCATCACGGAAGGATTTCATAAACGATTGTCCCGATAAGTGTCACGGTTTATCTACTCTCCTGAACCTCCTCCAACCAGCAGGTAAACGTTTTTACTTGAAAACGTTCGCTGCATTTATTACTAGAGAATTTCCATGCATTCTAATTGGTCAATTGAAAGTTTTCTCGAAAGAAAATTGTTATTTTTAACTGAAGCATTAACAATTTATAAGTTTTTACTTTGTTATGATAAGATCAGACTAATTTTTTGTTATTTACAGTAAATTTCAAGATTTTCTTTTTCTTTTCTTTCAACTTTAACCTTGAATGCACACCTTTTGGGATGATATTTTCGGAGATATTAATTAAAAGAAATATTCATAAACTTTGTCAAAATATTTCATTTCAAGATCAAACTTTTTCAGTTTATTGTTTTTTATTTTACAAATAGCAAGTGTCGATATATGAAAGTTTTTTATTTTATATTTCTTTGTTAGAATATAATTTAAATCAAATATTCACTACTAGATGTAAAACTTTTAGTTGAGCATATGTGTATATTACTGAAATCACAATTTCATAATCAATTTGAATCTACAAAAAAAGAAGAAAAGGGGATACAATTTAAAAAAATGTCAAAATATACTTTTGCCGGTATCTGTATGCACAAATAAATCTCTGCAATTAATTCATCTACCTAATCTAAAACTGTGGGACAATCAGGCAGAGAGCAATCTGTTTAGGAAACCCTCCAATTATACCTTATATCTCACCCTTCTCTCCGTCGTTCGAGATCGTTTTAAGGTCGATGAAATGCGTACCGATCACCGTCGGTTTAACCGGATCGTTGTCCCGCAACTGGATTTTGATGCGTTGACACAGCGGCGGGAACATTTCCGTGAAGACCAGTTGCTCGTTCCACACGGGTGCGTAGCTGCTCTTTTTCACGCTCGTTTTGCCCTTAAATTAAGACAATTGTTTTTATGTCGGGTCCCTGTTTAATATTTGACGTTGCTTGGAAAGGCTCTTTTTACCTAAATATTTTATCACATTTTGTGAAAAGATTTTTTAGTTTTAGAATGCTTTATTAGATACAACAAAAACTACTTTTAAAACCATAGCGCCTATTACGTTTGTAAGTTTTAACTTTGCTTTATTATGGGATGTCATTTATACCCTTATAAAACCATATTAAGCTTTAAGGTGTAATTTTAAACGAGGCCCTATCGGTGCTGTTACAGCAATAATAAAACCTAATGTGTTACTTAAATTATTATAATTTTATTCAAAAATTTGAATGATTCTGTTTCGTATATTTTTAGAACACTCTGTACTCACAGTTAGTCCTGCAAAGGACACCTGCACGTAGGGGTCCACCAAATCGCTTAGCTCCCCAGTAAAGGCTTTTTTCACGTTCGCCATCAGGGAAGAATTCATTTTCGGGAGACCATCGGCTCTGTAAACTTTAACGATGAACCTTGCCCGTTGTCTGTCCGTTGGAACGCCGTCCGGCAGTAAAAGATTCCTGCAAAGTAATAAAACGAAAAGCTGCAACGTTGTAAACAAAATGAAAATAACTTAATAATGAGGATATATTGAATAAATGGAAAAATGCATCGGGCTTAAGTTTCCTATATGAAAGCGTTGCTTGGTATGCAAATTTTAAAAGATATTGTCTTTCAACGGAAAATATATTGTTTTCTAAACTCGGACTAAAGTTCAAATTTGTATTTTACAAACTCGCTGCACTTAATGTATTAATTTTAAAGAAGTATGAAGTATTCAGCACACTGTTATAAAAATCAGATTTGTTAACATGGGTTTGTGGTTTGTAATTATTTTTGTAAAGGTAATAGGCAATTTTGTAAGCATTTTGTTAATTTTAAAGGTTACAGATTATTTTTTTAATGTTTAACAAATTATTTCTTTGAAAAAGTGAGTTCAGGCAGTCAATCAAAACATTTCCCACTGAGCATACGCATTCAACTGAGAAAGACTTTCAATTATAAATTAAAGAATTAATAATAAATATTTTTAGGCCTAACATTCAATTTTCTTAGTTTCTTTAAGAAACTTTCTTGACCCATCACTGGTAATATTCATAAGAATAAGAAAAAATTGAACCTACACCTCGCCTAAAATTTTATTTAGGTTATCATGATATTATACACGAAAATTTTCATTTTAAATAAAAGCGAACTGTTAAGACCTTGATAGTCTGCCCAAATTTTAGTTTAAATTTGTCACGTTTTAAATTAACGCAGAAAACGAATACGCGGCGTAAAGATAGGTATCTATGTTTGTGATTGGTGGAGAGAGAGATAGAAAGAAACGCCATGTTAACAGTTGATTCTCTCTAAAAATGACTAATTGTCATAGCGAAAAAGCAGCCACTAATAATTCTCGTCAATAGAAATTTGTATCCCGAACCTATAGCAGTCAATTTCCATGTAAAATTGTCACCCGAATCCGAAAATGTTGTCAAAAGTTATAAAAGTAGAATATTAAATTGAAAATTGACTATATCTAAACTGCTCTACTTTCATAATTTTTGACGGTATTTAAATCAAGTTTTATAAACGCCATTTTAGTTACGAGTTTTATTAGGTACGAGCGAGTGTTTAATAAAAACGAGTGTATAGAGAAGTTTATAAAACAAGTTGCATACTATACTTTATCTACGACGAACACAAAGAAGAATTTAAAGCCAATTTTATTTGTTAAACATTTGACATCTGTCAACGGATTTAACCTCACTTTTTCCCAATTTATAATAAAGCTTACTTCAGCCCGTGACTAAAATGCCCAAAAGCCACTATTGCTAACTTCAGCCTGTGACTAAAATGTCAAAAAGTAATAGCTTATCAATGGGGGAGTAGATAAAATATATTAAGTAGATTTCTAAAATATATCTGTAATATTTTAAGAATGTCTTTAAAGTTTTTTTAATTTTTTTTTATATTTCCTATTGAATACAAATGGCATACTTAAAGCATTCTAAAATTGACGCGACAGCCTACTTATGCACAACATAAGTAAAAACACATACGCTTCGATATCATCTTCATCCTTCTCGCTCTTGGGCGGAACCTTGACGGTGTCCCCTTTCCCGATGACGCTGATGTCGCACTTCAGGTATCCCTTGGGACCGCCGGCAATATCATCCGGGTCGGTGAGCAGCGCCCATTTGTGGTAGAACTGATGGTCTAAATAACAAACAACGAATGCGTCAGATGCGTTGCCCAAATTATGCAAATCTATGCCAAGGGACAAAGCGTGAACACATCAAGCCAGGCTGAGTAAATTGGCGTTTATATCCAGTCTACGGTGCCGTTATGGTGCAAATGTGATTTATGGCCGCATGCATAAAGGTTAGTTAGGATTTAGACGATTCTTTTCTTGAAAAAAATATTCGGGTTTTGGCCCAACAAAATTTAACAGGCCTTGTGCATGAGGTAGTTGAATGAATATGTATAATTGCTGTACAAATTTCAAATCGATATCTTTTTCCGTTCTCCATAAACTTTTAATAAATAAGTTAGGTAAATCACCCTGTATATATATACATATATGTATATATGCGTATATGTATACGTAGTTAATTTCTTAATAACAGGAGCATTCGCCATTTTTAAAAATAATTGTTCAAAATGACGGATACGTTCTTACTAAACATACTGATTTATAAGAATAAAGATTTTTTACACAAAAGGCAAAATTCATATTTATTTAATTTGAAATAACGACAAAAATGTAAAAAAATATTATGTTAAATATTTAGACCGAAATACTTTACATGTTTATGTTTACTATTTATCATTAAAATAATAATTTGTTTTAGTAATTAAAATTTTTATGACTTATATAATAAAGTTCAAGTTTACTCTGAAACTATTTGGGATCATTACAATAAAACGTTGCTGTAAAAAGTGAATTAAAAATTGAGTAGGAATTTTATATTTAGGAATGTAAAATATTCCAGCAATAAAACCATCTTTTATACTGTGAAATTATAGTATTTTATTAAGATCTTTAAAAACTAAACGTCTAAAAATATATTTGTTGCTAAGAAGTTTTATTTTCTAAACTTTATAAAATTATTACCAACTATAAATATTAAACTACATTGAACCATACATCCATGTTTATCTTTGGTAAGATTTTAGTTTGTAAGGGAAAGTTAAAGGGCCTCTAGGGCTTTTCAGGAAAATTAATAGCATTTATGAAATAAACAATAGATACATATTTTGAAACAAGGCAAAATATATATACAGAATATAATATATTAAATAGAAAGTTCATACAAATTTAAATGTTATAGAATTAAAACTTTGGATGCTTGGTTGCTAAAAAAATTTTATTCATACAAACTCAGGTATTTCTAATCTGAACTATCTCATAAAAAACACTTCAAAAATCCAAAGTTTTTAGAAAACATTCTTTAATTAGGGTGTAATAAGTGGTTACAATTTCATTTCTGAGACTTCATGAGTATTTTAGTTAGACTTTAAAATATCTAAATTATTTAATTTGTCTAAAATTGTGTATTTTTAATGTGAAATATCTCGAAAAGGACATACTTAAAAAATTACAGTTTACACAATTATAACAGAATTAAAGATATTTCATATTTTTAGTGAAGTAGTACTCTATAAAGACTATAAAAAGGCTGAGGAACATATACAAACCACCGCTAAAAAATTAATAACTCTCCGAGTATATTACATAATATATATTACCTATATACAAAAAATCGAAGTAAAATTTTGTCTGTAACCATCCATTGGTTGATTTAATTGACACGAATAAGAAACTTAAAAGTGAAAAATCCATCTTGCTGGACAAAATATTTAGGCACGAAAATCATATCAAATATTGTTTTTCAGTCAAAATATATTGGAAAAATTTTCATTAAAGCTACGCTGTACCATTAGGTTTGCTCAAAAAGTCTTCTATGAAAATATGTTAGTTAATTATGTTTAGGAGCTCTCTCCAAAAATCATCATCATTTTCCGTGTGCAAAAATTCTTTATACAGGGTGTTTCATATTCGTGGACATTAGAAGTTTCTGGGGAACGAAAAAAATTATCGATTTGAAATTTAAAAAACGTTAATAATCCTATTAATTCTTTTTTCTAAAATATTTTAATATTAATATTATTTCAAATAGAATACCACATATATTTTTACATACTAAAAATTTACATAAAATTATGATTAAATTTACTATACCTATAACTAAAGTGAATAGGTTTCGAGTTATTAATGTTTTTCGTTAAAATTTGACAAATGCGCGTCAATCAAAAATAGCCTATAACTTTCTTGTTATTAGGTTTGTGGATATTGGGGTGAAATTTATAAAATCTTAAAACATTGTTTAAAATATTCAATGTCAATTTATTAACATTTTTTAACAAATTACTTCAGAAAACTCAGGGCAAATTAGGCTAAGTTGAAACGTTAAGAACTTTTTTATTTTTAATCCAACACCCTGTATGTTTTTGCCTAAAAACATTTTAATTGATGTATCCATTCCCTATACCTAACTATAATAATTTCAGAGATATTTAACAATTTTCAATAATAGACCCAGAATGGTCAAGAAGAGCAACGTCTAATAATAATAATAATAATAATAATAATAATAATGTTTGTGTAATGTGTGCAAAAAAATACAATTTCTTACACAAATGTAGAAGTAAGAATTAAGAAATGCTTCAATGTTAATGTTAGAAATTTAGAAATTGTTAAATATCTCTAAAATTACTAAATTTAGGTATTGGAAATAGTTCCATAAATCGATAATTTCCTATTTGATTATGTAAAACAAACAGGGTGTAACATTTAAAAAAACTTATTAATGTTTCAATCTAGCCTAATTTGACATAGTTTTTCTCAAGTTATTTATTGTGATAGGTTAAGGAATTGATAAATTTTAACAAAAAAACATTAATAACTCGAAAACTATTTACTTTAGGTTTAGAACATGATTTAGTCATTTTAAATGGCATTTTGTTCAAAATAATTTAGAAAAATAGACTGATTTGGATTATAAACGCTGTATTAAATTCAAATAGCGGTTTCCCAGAAACTTTTAATGAAATACGAACGTAAAAGACCCTGTAGTAATTATATTAAAACTAATAATGTCCAAAACGTAAAACGAAGGTGTTGCATGTCGAAACAAATTAAAATTAAAGTACATAGGACACTAGGAATACTAATTTTACCGTGTTATAATTGTTTCTAATTGTCCATGGTACACAAAACTTTCATGCATAGTTTTTAGTGTTTCTAGTAGTTTCAGTGTGTTTTTTATGGTGTTTCCATTTCAACATTCGGATAAATGTTTTAAAGCCGTTTTATAATAAATAAGCGAACACAAGAGAGCATATAACCACTGACGTCTACGTATCAACCAAACTTTATTCATTCAGGCACAGATATCAAACCAACTAACTAACGTGCAAACTGTACAAGGTAACACATCGCTAAAACAGTCTCATGGGGCGAAAGGAAACAATAGCGGACATCGTTCGGTTAAAAATTCAACGGGTTCGTGTCAAAAGCGAATCTCAGAAGACACGGTTTAATTATGTCTGTTTAGACACGGTTTAATTATGTCTGTTTTTCATTACGATGTTTATATAGTAGTAGGTAAGTGTGTTCACTGATTTGTTTATACTTGTTATCGTAATAAGCAACGTTTGCTTATTATATTATCTGATTACTAGGTATACGCGTAGTGGGGATTTTTTATTAAAGTTTAAATGTCATTTTGTCAGTTGAACCTAACGTAAAAATGATGTGACAGTATTATTAAAAACATTTGTCTGAAACATTTTTTCGTATTTGTTTCTTCTCTTTATACCATTCCGCAATAATTTTTCAATAAAAATATAAATTACTTTTTCATTAAAAATAATTATATTATTAAATTATAGCTAAATTTTTTTGACAAAGTACTTATTTTACATTATTTTATTTACTAATGATTGTTATTTTTTGTTATACTTGCGTTGAGACTAAAAAGACTCCGGCTTCAAGCCGCAATTCTGCCGTGCTTAATGAAAACGCCGTAACCAACAATTGTGCGATTTTTGTTTTACGGCATTTTCTACTAGAACAATTCATCCTGCGTCTATCCCCGGTACTCAAAAAACCGTATATATATAGATACGGTTTTTTGAGTACCGGGGATAGACGCAGGATGAATTTTTCTAGTAGAAAATGCCGTAAAACAAAAATCGCACAATTGTTGGTTACGGCGTTTTCATTAAGCACGGCAGAATTGTCAACTTTTTTGCTAGGGTGCAAAAAACGAAATAAACTTTAGGAACCAAAATAAATTTAATGTAGTTCGAAAGTTTCTGAGATAAGCCCGTCTTACTACTAATTATTTAGCACATTAAAGATGTCCCGAAACTTCCCAATATCTTGTCCTATTGCTAGGGAGATGTCCGACATTGTTCTTGGGGAACAGGTGCTGGACCCTGAGGGTTACCTCGTACCTGGCTGCGACCAGACAGTGGCCACGTCTAGCTTAAAGCTTCCCAGTAATTTGTTACCCCTGAGAAAGTTCCGAGACTGCAACACCTGTCAGCCGAAAAGAAAACAGAAACAAAATAGCAGAAATGTCGAGAAAAAAGTCTCGAGAAAAAATACAAAAACAATAGTCGGAAGGCTCCGGCACGATGCAAATTGCAACATATCCAGTGCAGTGTGTACGAAACTGTATGGTTGGTAATAGAGATAACTAAAGTTTGTTTTTTACAATTAAATGTTAACAATCTGGAAAATTTTATTGTAAGAAACATACTTTATAAGTATGTAGATATAATATATATAATATATTATAATATCTACATATATACAGGGTGTTTCACGTTCGTGGTCCATTAAAAGTTTATAACATATTTTTTTCTAAATTTTTTTTAAATATCTAAAAGATCTTTAACATACCTCAACAAATTACTTAAGAAAAAGCATATTAAATTAGACTTGAAACGTTAATAACTTTTTATTTTAAATATACTTTTAATTGATGTAACTATTTCCTATATATATATATATATATATATATATATATATATATATATATATACACAGTGTGTCCGTAAAGTCCCGGAACATGTGATTATTTTGAAAACGGTATTTTTTTTTAAAAAACGCTGAAACACGTCAACTTTGGTATTTTTCTAGCAATATTTTAGCATATGTAGTTGTTCCAAAATCTGCCGCGTGGCGGCGCCCCAATCGAAGTAAGGTTTTTTTTAAATTACAACCCTTAATTTTTGTTGCATTTTTGGATAGCTACCGTCGTCCTGAGTACATTGATATGCTACATGTGGAGGGTTACATAAGAAAATTTTTGAGAAAAGTAGGTTTTTGCCGCTGATTAAGATTTTGGTTTTGACGAACTTATTCGCTGTTACAGGGCACTATGCATTGCTAGTAAGGGATTATTTAAATGAGGTCTTTCCCAATCGCTGGATAGGTCAAAGGGGTCAAATTGAGTGGCCAGCGCGATCGCCCGATTTGAACCCTTTAGACTTCTTTTTATGGGGACCTCTTAAAAACCGCGTCTATGTAAACAGGCCTTAAAATTTGGACGACCTAAGACACCGCATTCAAGCAGAGATCCAGATGATCACTCCAGCGGTACTGGCAAACGTACAACGCTCGTTTGTAGATAGGCTGTTCCATTTCCAAATAGTTTACGGTGGACACTTTGAGCAACTGCTCTGATTGGCTTTCCAAAAAACATTAAGCAACGCATAGATTGTGTAAGTTTGGCAAAATACCAAAATCTCATTCGGCAGCAAAAACCTGATTTTCTCAAAAATTTTCTTATGTAACCCCCCAGATGTGGCACATCAATGTAATCAGGACAACGGTAGCTATCCAAAAATGCAACAAAAATAAAGGGTTGCAATTTAACAAAAACTGACTTTGATTGTGGCGCCGCCACGCGGCAGAATTTGGAACAACTACATATGCTAAAATATTGCTAGAAAAATATCAAAGTTGGCGTGTTTCAGCGTTTTTTAATAGTATATTAAAGAACTAATGTCATAAGACGTCATTTTGTCGCACGCGGACAATTTATAAAACGAGCGACGAAGGAGCGAGTTTTATAATGGACAAGTGCGACAAAAGGTCTTATGACATGAGTTCTTTATGCTATTTTATCTATTTTGCAAACATTTCATAAAACAAATTAATTTTATACCTTATATTTAATTTGGTCAAATTTTACTTTACATAGTTGGTAACTCAGTTTGAAGTTTGAAAGGTCATTAACCTTTCAAACATTATCACATTCTTTCGCTATGGCGTCGTTAATTTACAATAAGTATTTACAATAAGCGGCTGTTAAAGAAGAAAAAAGGATTTTCTTTGGTGTTAAACAAAATTTATTGCACGAAAAGTCTTGTAAGTACTAGAAAACAAATCATAAAAATATTATAACCTATAGGTATTCAAAAATGGATTTTACCAGTAGCCAACCTATAAAATCAAAATTTTGGGTGGAATAAAGTACCTTATTAAAGAACCAAAAGCGGTGTTATAATGAAGTCATTATGAAACCAAAATAGATAAAAAAAATTACCGTTTTCAAAATAATAACATGTTCCGGGACTTTACGGACACACTGTATATACATTTGAAATGCTACATCCTTGTTGATTTTTTTTCAAAATTAGCAATTACTGTTTATTATACTTTTAAATTTTAAAATTTGTTTGCTTGTCCATATTTTTTATCAGTAATTTTGTTTACAAAACACTTAATTAGTCAACAAATGGTTTATAACAACCTGAAAACTTGACGCCATTAAATTTTGAACAGACAGATTATCTGGTAACCATACATACAGTCAACTTACCCGTTATAGGCTTCTTGATACAAAATAATATACATATACATATGTATTTATTTTTGGAAATTGTTAAATATTTCTAGAATTTAATTTACTATTTTATTAGGTAAAACCATACCGGGTATAAAATAAAAAAGTTATTAATCTTTCAAATTAACCTAATTTGCCCTGAGTTTTCTCAGATAATTTGTTGAAAAATGTTAAAGAATTGACATCACATTATGTATAGGGCATGGTATAGTAATTTTACTTAGAATTTAAAAATTTAAAAATATTTAAGGTGTTCTAAACCGAGATAGGCATTTTGTTCAAAATATTATAGAGAAATAGACTTAAATGGAATATAAACGCTTGTAAAATTTCAAATCTTTTTTCTTCTGAAACCCAGAAACCACCAATGGACCACGAATGAGAAACATACTTTATACTTTAATATGTATAAAACTTTCCCAGCATATTTTTCTCATTTACTTATTTTTTATTAATTTGGCAGACTTTCAAACTATAAAAACAATGTGGTACACTCTTCAAAAAATTTAACCACGTAATATGAGTTACATAATACAACTTTGAAAAGGCCTACGTTGTTGTATAAAGCTTATTATAAGCAATGTTTTTCTTATGTTAAAAACGTTTAATTAATGAAAGCAAAGTAATAAAAATTAAATTAAATAATTCTATTGAGAGGTAAAATTATTTTGAATTAAATTTTCGCTTCGAAGACTTTACATTGAAAGCAAGTAAACATGAAATTTAATTTTAATTATTAAACAACAACAAAAAAATATTTGTCTTAAAAATCATAATTTCAGTACTTATAGAAGAAAAAATAAATTTAAATAAATACAATGTATAAAATAAAAAATCAATATTTTATGGCATTCAAATTTTACGTTACGTGACTAAGCATAATATTATATTTATTTATCGTTATAAAAAAAATAAAACGTGCACCACATCCATTTTTTATATACAGATAGAAAGACTGTCAATGTGCTGCTTGGATAATTCTAAAGATAAAATACGAAAAATCAAGTTAGTGAGGGATGTACCAGGTGCATCATAGACCGTCTTGACGTCTATCTTGAAGGTACCAACCGTTGTACCGCTTCGCAAAAGTTTCCTAGAATGTAACACCTAAAAACACTAGATGTAGCTACATCGAAAAAGTTTTGGACGGTTCAAAAAGCAACATTTACGTGTACATTTGTCAGTATAAATCACTTGGTAAATAGTGTAGGAAATAAAATGTTTTACAAAATTACATTTCTTCACTTATTATTAATAGTGTAGGTCCTTAAAACACATAATCCAAAGTTGTCAAAACACACATAATATCTATTATATTATATTATATTTTACAAATTAAAACCTCCCTAGAATTTATTTTAATTACAACAACAAACATTTTAAAATAATCAATATTAATTATAATTATAATTATAATACATCCCCTTTAGTTGTTTAGTGAAATAATAATAATAAAAGTAATTAAATTCAGTCATGCACAGATGAAATATAGAGGACAACGAATACCGCCCACATAATACAGTAAAGATTACTAAATGAAATCTGCAAACTTCTGTGAGTTGCACAATTACATTTGCTGCTGTATTTTTGTTTAGTTTATGTAATTTATTTTATTTTAGCTGCATACATTACGTCAAAAATATCATCCACTAGATTATTTTAAAAGTGTTGATTCGAAATATAACTTTGAAATGCAAAACTGGCATGAATATAAATCGTTTTACGTGCGTATAAGTAGTGGAGAAAACGTTACAAACTTGGGCTTTCTGTAAAAGTTTCCGTAAGCGGATAAGATTATTTTAAGTTAAGTTTTCTTTTATGAAATTTGACATTTTTACTACAAAGTTTTTGTTACATTGAATTACAATAGGTACTTGGTAAGACTGGCAGACAAAATAAAATGTTCTGTAACCTACAAATGCTTTTGTTTGTATATTGATTTTTTAAAATATTATGCAAACTTGTTTTATGCAGGGTGTGTCAGTTTTAATCGGAAAAATTTAAAAGTCAATTGAACTTTTTTTAATAACTTTAATATCCCGAAAACAAAGCTTTAAAACTTACAAGTTTAAATAAACGTTCTATACTACTAAATTGTCTCGATTGAAATCTAAAACACCCTGTATATTGGAGTGATTTGTTTTAAAGGATTATTATTTTTATTTTACTTCCACAGCAAAATATTTGTTTATTCAAAATCCCAGAAAAGAAACTTTATATATTATTTTAAGAAAAAGTTTCCAAAAAGTTTCAGCCTTTGATTTTACTCTCAAGTTATTTTTTAGTTTTGATTTAAAAGTTTTTTTATTAAAATAACTATGTTTGTTTAAAACAAATCATATTATTAATTAAAACTATTTTTTTTCAATCAATTCAATTCAATGGTCATAACTTTCAAAAAATGAACAATAGCGTTGAAGGACCCATAAATCTTATCCGATTAAGCTCAAATTTTCAGGGCAATGTTTTTTTATAAATTAATATGTTGTGCTTTATTAAGGAAATCTGGGTACTTCTTCGGCAGAATCTTCATTGAAGAAAGTTAACAAAATATGCGTTAACTTTTTTTTACATTTATATTTTATTGCCTTATATAGATTTTGTAAATTATTTCCTGACCAATAGGAGAAGTTTATTTAGCTGTGGTTCTATAAACTACATTTAGCAAAGAAAATAAAACAAATTAAATCCAAAACTTTTTATTATGTACAAAGTCGTAAATGATCCCTTAAAAACCGTCACAAGTGAACAGCATAAAAACTTTATTTTCGGAAGAAAATATAACTGCTCAGAAATACTTGAAGGGCATAGAAGTGACTGCGTAAATATACACCGTGTCCAAAGTTATCTGCTCACCATTGTTACAATTGGTGGCATTTTTTCTTTTGTTTTAAAACAGTGAAAACAGAAATATAATTGAACGGCCGGTTTCCGAAATATTAGAAAAAATAAAAATAAATTACCTATAACACCCTGTATATTTTTACATAATTAAAAAGTCAATGTAATTTTAAACAAAAGATTATTACACTACACTACACTAAATAATTCAGTTTAGAAAGTTATGCAATAATAATATTTTGTTCTAAAATAAATTTACTTTCAAAATATGTCAAAATATACAGTGTGTCCCACTTTTTGTAAATATTTCAAAAACATGACTTTTAATTGTTTTTCTGTTTTCACCATTTTAATCGGAAGGAAAAATTCCACCATTTTGCTAATTTAACCAACTTTAATAATAACCAAGTTAGTAATAATGAGCAGATAACTTTGGACACCCTGTATTCATGTATAATATAGATATATATATATATATATATATATATATATAGATATATATATATATACATATACATTAGGGTGATGCAAAAAAAAATTTTTTTTGAATTCTATGCGAGACCACTCGGGTTTTCAAAGAGTATCAAGAAAATAAAAATCTGTAAAAATTTGAGAGAAATCAATTAAAATTTAGAGGTCGCTCAACGCAATTGTTTAATTTAGAAAAATCACGCATCTCAAATGCATTGCTATAAACAAGTAGGCATATTTTATACAAATTTGAATGAAAATGGTTGAATTTTTTTTTGTTGGACTCTTAATGATTATTTTAATAAATAATAATGTCCCGATTTCAAAAAATTGTTCATAATATTTAAAAAAATATATATTAATTAGCAAATATACCTTAGTTAACAAATAATTCATTAAATTTTTTTTTGTTTCAAAATCTGTAAAAACATTGTTAATAGGTCTACAAGCAATGATTCATTCACAAAAACACTCGCCCCCATCGTTAAATATGGGGAAAAATAATATTTTAATTAACTACACTTCGCGTCAAATTTAACGCACCACTAAAAGTTTGTCACATTTTCAAAGTTGATTTTCTCGCGAACCGTCAAACCGAATTTGGTAATTTTTGTTTTAAAATTGAGGTTTATTCTTTGGTTATGATGCCTTTATTAAAAAATTCTTTTAAATTTAAGTTTTGAGTATATACATATATAACCGTCAAACCGAATTTAGTGATTTTTATAATAAATTGTAGGTTTATTCTTCGGTAATAATGCGTTTATTAAAATATTTGTTTAAATTAACATTTTGAGTATATATAGGGTGCAAGTGTAATAATTAGTTTTTTTTCCAGAAATTTGAAACGCCCTGTTGGTTGTACAATATATAACAGCATATGTCTCTTACAATCAAACTATAGCCCCATGTTCTCTTAACATTTTGTATTTTTATTCATCGGGTTATCTTTATTTTTAAATGAAATATACATTTAAAGATTAAGGTACCATGAATAGTGTACGATATATCGAGGACATTTTATTTAAGCATGTTGTCCCTTTCGCCCGGTTATAATTTTTTACTGATGCAGGATAATGCTATATAGTGCAAGAATACTTACATGAGGTGGGTGTTAAAACTTTAGACTGGCCTGCAAATAGTCCGGATCTCAACTCCATCGAGCATTTGTGGGATAATATGGGTAGACGACTAAGAAATCATGATTCCTTGCCTGCCTCCCTTGATGACGTAGCAAATATGCTACGAGAAATATGAAATGTCATTGATCAAGACGAGATTAGACATCTGGTTTCGAGTGTGAGCCGTCGATGTGAAGCCGTAATTAGAAGTAGAGGCAGAAATATGCGATATTGATATTCTTTAATGTTGGTTTTATTGATTTTGTTAATATTTTTGTTGTTATTGTTACAATCGTTCTTTTTACATTTTTGTATTAAAATGGAGTTCTTTAATCTTTAACTGTATATTTCATTTAAAAATAAAGATAACGCGGTGAATCAAAAAACAAAATGTTAAGAGAAGATGTGGCTATAGTTTGATTATAAGATACATATGCTGTTATAGCTGGTACAATCCACAGGGCGATTTAAATTTCCGGGAAAAAACTTATTATCACTCTTGCACCCTGTATTTACTCAAAATGTTAATTTAAAAAAATATTTTAATAAACGCATTATTACTGAAGAATAAACCTACAATTCATCATAAAATCAATCACTAAATTCGGTTTGACGGTTCGCGAGAAAATCAACTGAAAATGTGACAAACTTAGTGGTGCGTTAAATTTGACGCGAAGTGTAGTTAAATAAAATATTTAACGATGGGGGCGAGTGTTTTTGTGAATGAATAATTGCTTGTAGACCTATTAACAATGTTTTTACAGAATTTGAAACAAAAAAAAAATCGAATGAATTATTTGTTAACTAAGTTATATTTGCTAATTAATATATATTTTTTAAATATTATGAAAAATTTTTTGAAATCTGGACAACATTATTTATTAGAATAATCATTAAGAGTCTACCACAAAAAATTCAACCATTTTCATTCAAATTTGTATGAAATATGCCTACTTGTTTATAGCAATGCATTTGAGATGCGTGATTTTTCTAAATTAAACAATTGCGTTGAGCGACCTCTAAATTTTAATTGATTTCTCTCAAATTTTTACAGATTTTTATTTTCTTGATACTCTTTGAAAACCCGAGTGGTCTCGCATAGAATTCAAAAAAAAAAAATTTTTGCATCACCCTAATATACATGTTATGTAAAAGTATATTAGTTAAAAACGGTAAAAAAGGTACTTACCGAAAGGTGAATTATTTTATCGAATAGCATTATCGGAGGCATATGGAAATCAAATACGAAATACTGAAAAAAATAAAGAAAATTGTATGTCTTCAGGTTTATATTTCTTAAGTAAAATTCAGTTTAATAAAATTTATTTATTTATGAATATATTATTTATTTACTCTCACATATGCAAGCTGTGATTTTATGGCGCTTTAGTCACGGGCTGAAGTTAGCTTTAAATTAGGTGGCAGCTGTCAAATGTTATACAATCTTTAGAATAAAGTGCCGGTTTTGTGAAATAATAGTAAATGTGAAAATTATTGTATTATCTTAATGCACAAGTACAAAATATTAAATAGTTTTCAAGTAGAAAAAGTATAGCGAGCAACTTCTTAATTAAAATTCGTGACTAAAATGGCGTTTATCAAACTTAATACATAGTATACTATTTTGTTCGTCGTAAATAATAGTATATTAATATAATTAACATAATTATGTATAACTAGTTTTATAAACGTTATTTTTTACACGTTGAATTATACACGAGCGGAGCTAAAGTAATCTTGAGAACTTTATAAAATAAATTGCAAACATACTTTATGTAAGAAGAACGCACAGTGATGTTTTTTTTTAGAATTTAACGCCAATTTTATTTGAGATTTTATTTGATATCTGACAACTGTTTTAACGTTACTACCAATCTGACATCTGTCAGGTGGGTTTAACCTCACTTTTTTCCAAAGTATTTAATAAAGCTCGCCATTAAAACTTTGCTTGTTAAAAGTTGGTAGTTAAATGTAAATTAGCCTCTTGCACGACAATGGAAATATGTTTTTTATTATAATACTATGTTTTGGATCTACTACAATTAGATCATATTTTGTGTTATTTGGAAAATTTACATAAAAATGTATATTTTACAAAGAATATTACCTATACTGTGTATTTGTCATCATTGAAATTATAAAAAGCATTGTATTGCAACTAAGTTCACATTAATAAAAACCGTTATACTGATATTTTTAACGAACATGTTTTTGAAATTAATAGAATCTTGAAAAAATTTTAAATTTCAATGAGTAATTTTGAAATAGACTGTTCGCGAATGTTTACAAAAGAAGGTACTAAGCTTTTGAAAACAAATAATTCAACTTGCTTTTTATCAACAAACAGTTCATTTTTAACTTGCCATCTAGTACGTAACGTTCAAAGTACAAATTACCTGTCAACCGGTGTAACTAATCCCAAAATAATGTTTTTTTTTAATTAGCATAAAAACACACAATTATTTTGTTTTAGGTTGTTTTACTAATAAATTAAACGATTCTTTTAGTATAATCAATTCGGACAGTAGTAAAAATATAAAAAATGGTGGGACAAATTTTAAAAATTTCCAAAACATTTCAGTTTTTTAAAATTTCAAAAATTAATAACTAATAATAACTGATGTTACCTCGTTGAAGTAAGGGCAGTTGGTGCTCTCCTTCACGCTGGTGTATTTGCGCTGGTCGCCGACTTGAATGCACACTACCGGATCCATATTCAGGCCTGCCAACTGACGGGCCTCTATGATTGTAAGGCATACTTGGAAATCTTGAGCTTTCAAAGCCGACTCCACGGTCGTTTTCAGGTCCGCTTTCAGCCTAAAACAAAGTTACTAAAACTTACTAAATAATTATTATTATAGGTACATGTAGTATATGCTCTAAGGTCTTACTTTATTTGTTTTTTTATTATTAATATGTTAAGACTGTAAATTAATTAATTTTGCAAAGTTCATACCAAGTTAAACTTGTTGTCTTAATTTAAGTCATCCAAAATTTTAGATGAGGTAAACTTTGACAAACTTATAATTACGCGGTTGTGATTTAACAGTTTCAAATTATAATTGTAAACATCTAAAAATTGAGCGTCACGTACTTTTAAAAGCAAATTTAAAGGCAATATTATTGTTGTTTTTAGGATTCTGGGTATTACACAATTTATTTTATTAAAACTATGTACAGCTGGATTTATCTGTAGAGAAATAACTACCTTAAGAGAAACATAAATATTATTTATCAATTCTAAATACTTTGGAAAAAAACATTATTTTTCTTTGTTGTTTTATAACGTACATAGGTAAAGCTTTTAAACAATACATTTTTAACGCCTTTGATATTCATAAAATTGTATGAATACCACGGAAATTTCATTCATGAAAGTCTTACAACTGCTTATAAGTATTTAACCATTAAATTAAATCCAAGATTTCAGGTATTGTTTTTAACAAAGCTGTATTTCATAAAATAAAATGTTTGTTGTTTTTGCACTATGAAATACTTTAGAAACTTTTCTAGCCAGGGTAGTAGCGCAAACAATATTTGTATTATGGTCCATTATTAATGGATTATTCTCAACCCCGGAGGAAAAATGCTCTGCAAATTTATTTGGTACATCCTTGTTTTCAGCAAATTAAATTTGCTCTTTATAAGAGGAATAATATATAATAGAAAAATATATAATATATATTTTTCTATTATATATTATTCCTCTTATAAAGAGCAAATTTAATTTGCTGAAAACAAGGATGTACCAAATAAATTTGCAGAGCATTTTATATTATCTCTAATTGATTTCATGTCAATCAATCACATACTCTTAAAAAGTTCGGATAAACTACATATCAACTTTGATTCATATCTATGCTTTGATTACCTACTACTTTACTGTCATAAAATATTCGATTTCATGTTATTTTCCGTAATTGGATACGTCAAATTTGTTAATTTCAATGTTGGTAACTGTACTGACAATACAGATCTCGACAACGATTTATTTAACGAACAAAAATCATACACAAATTATAATTTAACAACCTATGAAATTTTGTCCTTAAGATTAAAAATTAATTTTATTTTTTGATTTACCTGGTAGCTCTTCTGTTTTTTTCGGCCGCCATCGACGACTGGCTCTCCGCGTTGGACCCCAACGAGCTCTGGCTTCCGGTCCGCGAGACCGGACCCGATTCCGGCTCGGACTGGTTCCGGGACGTCCGTCCGGACTCGCCGTGCAAAAGCGAGGCCATTTCGTCCTCATTGTCGCTGCACGTCTCCTTGGGGGGGCGCTGCTTTCCGAAACGAATCAGGCTTTTAACGCTTCGTAGCGCCGATTTTTTTCGCTCCGACGATTTTTCCGGGGTACCTGAAAAGTTGTTAGTAATGTATTTTCTACCTTAATCATTAAAAGAAAACTTATATTATAAAGTCGTTAAAAGAGTTTTTTAGACCTTAGACCTTTGAGTTATATATAAAGTGTTGTAAAAAATAGAAAAAACCATTTCTTTTGTTTCCTTAGTTTTTTTAGTTTCATGGTTTATTTGGTTTCTTTGATATCCTTGGTTTCTTTAGTTCCTTTGGTTTATTTGATTTTTTTAGTTTCTTTGGTTTCTTTGGATTCTTTGATTTCTTTAGTTTCCTTGGTTTCTTTGGTTTCTTTAGTTTCTTTGTTTTCTTTCGTTTATTTCAAATTATACAAAATAAGGCCATGAGAATTATTCTAAAATGTAGTAAATATACACCAATTATGTTAGATGTGTTAAATATGTTATCTGTAAAACAGAAAGTTATGTTTGTTGTTGCTGTGTTTATATTTAAGATTAGGAAAAAATGGTACCTGACTATATATGTGATAAAGTTAAACTATTTAGGGAAGTTCATAATTACTGTACTAGAAATCAAAATGACTTTATTCTGTTTCAAAGAAGTTTATCGAATCAATCCAGAAATACCATTTTATTTAAAGGCCTAACCGAGTACAATCCATTGCCAAATAATATCAAAACCTGTGAAAAGCTCATTGTATTTAAGAGACTCGTCAAAAGCCATATATTGTCTCATTTCTAAATCTGTTCGTACCTTATTTCTAAAATTATTGTTATTTACTTTTATTTATTTTAAATTTTTTATTTATAATTATATATTTTATTATTGTAAATTTAAATCCTTGTAAATTATGTAGCATTTTTGCTAAATAAATTTATTATTTTATTATTATTATTATTATTTGGTTTCTCTGGTTTCTTTAGTTTCGTTAGTTTCTTTAGTTTTCTATGGTTTCTTTAGTTCCTATGTTTTTTTTAGTTTCTTTGGTTTTCTAAGTTTCTTTGGTTTGTATGGTTTCTTTGGTTTCTTTGATTTCTTTAGTTTTTTTGGTTTCTTTGCTTTAATTCTTTTCTAGTTGAAAAGATCGTGGCGTCACGCAATGTTTTTTTAAAAAATCCATATTTTCCACAAAAATATATATATAAACTATTGGAAATTGCAATGTTTTTTTAAAAAATCCATATTTTCCACAAAAATATCTATATAAAAACTGTCACTGTCATCCTCCATAGCTATGGATGGACCATAGCAACCTTAGTTCTAAAAAGTTCGAAAATATTGGAAATTGCAATATTTTTAAAAAAAATCCATATTTTCCACAAAAATAAATATATTGAGGTGAACCAAAAACAAAACTGTTAGGAATAAATGTGACTTGATAATTAAAACTTAATTTAGAACAATATACGGTTTTGCCACTCTACAGAGTGTCTTAAACTTATGGTAAAAAACTTATTTTTGTTTAAACCTGTATATTATAAACGTATATCTATTTTTTAGCAATTTTTTAAAATTTGAGCGATTCTCCTTTAGTGTATCTACAATATTCTTTAAAATTCATTAAATTCGGCATCAAATAAAAAGTTATTTGCGATTGAAATTCATCGAAAATTTGTATGGATCGATTATTTTGCCTGTAAATGTATTATTTATTTTCATTAAAGAAAAAATTGATAGCAAAATCAGTTATTTCAACGCAATGGTTGTTTTTAATGATTATTTTCTATAATAGAAGTAGTTATACACTGATTTTCAACATCATGTCTCAACCACATTTCGTTTAATTTGATTTTTGTGGTAAAATAAACACTGCTATTGGAAAGAAAGGATTACGTCTAGAACCAGGAATCTATACAGCACAAATTTTCAATGGAGTTGACTATCCTGTCACATGTATCCTTGATCAAAGTCCCAAAAAATATGTTTAATTTTACGGTAAGGATTACCTGGTGCTCTTCTTGACGTCGACTTTTGTTGCCTTACGTCGTCCCTGTCCCACGTTTCGTGCGGGCCTGTTGTCAGGTTGCGTTCGATATTCGCGATGTTCTGCTCGATGTCGATCAGCATCTGTTGATCGTCGTCACAGCATGTCGAAAGCCTGGCTGCCCGCGAAAGAAGCCATCGACTCGTCCGGCAGCGTGTACAGAACGTCGAATTCGATCGAACACTAGAATAAAGAAAAACCACTTGTTACCTATGCATATTTGGACTACTGGATATAGATTGCTATATTAGGTTTAAATGTCTGTCTGTCTGTCTGAGAAATGAGTTTTGTTTTTGTGTATTTTTATAACTAACAAACGTAATTTAAACAAAAACCAAAATTAAAATTATGGCACTCAACCATCGCTTTTAGTTACTTTTTCTACTCCCACCTTTAAAACGCCCATTTTCGAACATGTTTTCGTGACACCAAAGTTAAAGTTAGCAACAGGTTTTTAGTCAAGGGCTGAAGTTAGTTAAAAGTTAGTTAAAAGTTGTCAAATGTCATAAAATCGTTAAAATAAAGTGCCTTTCTTGTAAAATAATACAAAATGTGAAAATTATTTTATTATCTCAATACAAAAATACATAATTATTAAATAGTTTCTTGACGCCAATATTTGAAAAGATTATATGAACGTTTGTACTGACCTTTTGGTTTCGCCGTAGTAATATTCTGATATCGCTTAAATTTAACAACGTTTGGTTTTTGAGGTCGCTAATTGCGAATTTTATATTTATTTTTTGAAAAACAAAATGGCGGGCCATTAAGGTACAGTTTCGTTGATGCGACTCGCGGCTGCGACTCGCGACTGCGATCGTAGCCGCTCCACTGCTTAGTACAATTTGTGTGTATACGTTTTGGTTGGCGCGTTCAGTCGCAGTCTGCGCCAACCAAAACGTATACACACAAATTGTACTAAGCAGTGGCGCGGCTAAGGTCGCAGCCGCAAGCCGCAGCCGCGAGTCGCACCAACGAATCCGTACCTTTATGGAGGACATTTTTTTTCAAAAAAAAATTTCTGATATCGCTCAAATTTAGCAACCTGTGTTTTATGAGGTAGCTGATAACAAATTTGTTATCCTTTCTGTGGGTAAAAGGCATAAGGGGATAAGTCAAAACAATCAATTTTTTAGTAGTACCTTAAACGTGTTCGCATTAATTTAGGAAATACATTTTTGGTTAGCGGGTATATCCTTTTGCCAGCACATGTCATATGCTAGCAAAAGGGTATGCTCGCTAACCATAAATATATTTCCTGAATTAATACGAACACGTTTAAGTCTCTACCTAAAAATTGCTTTTTTTGACTTATCCCATTATGCCTTTTACCCACAGCTTTATTCCAAAAACAAAATGGCTTATCCAATATGGCCGACATTTTTCAAATAAATTTACTTTTTTTTTGTTTATGGGATTAGAAAACACGTTGAATTTAAATTATATTTATTCAACGCAATAAAAAACTATTTTTTTATAAATTTTTATGTACACGTACAAAATTTGCAAATTTGGTTAATGTAAAAAATAGGAAATTTGTAAATACATAATTCCAATATTCACTTTAAGAAAATTGAAATCACAATATTTAACGCTTTGAAATTAAAAAAAAGATGATCCCTGAATCTTGCATAAATTTACATTTGAAAATTAAAAAAAATTAAATTTATACATTTATATATTTTGATTTTGTGTTATAAATACATAATATGAATATTATTTGAATGTTATAATTGACAATTTTGTATACTTTAATATATAAATATTTAATTGAAATTGTCTCTATTTTTTAATGTAAAACATTTAATTTGTAAAATGTCCAACTATTGATTTCTAAATTTTTTGATAAAACACAAAATCTGATATGGAGTTTATCTAGAGTATAAATCTAAAATAAAAAACATTATACAATACTCACTGATTTCTTTTTACCACTTCCTAAATTTCCCTGCGAGGGTAGTGCAAAGTAATACAAACATATTTAATACAAAGTAACTAGCTTCGTTTAAGATACATTCTTGAATTTAAAAATATAAACACTTAGTGCCTTAGAAACAAACACCCTGTACATAGATTTAGAACTTTTTTAAGAGAACGTTAAGTATAAAAGGGACAAGCGCCTAACCCTTGTAGGCTAATATGTTATAATGATAAGGATTAAACCAAATTTCCCTGACATTTCTCGGTTTTCCAGCGATTTTTTATATTTTTTTTTAGTATATAGTAATTTGATTAAAAAACATAAATTAATAAAACAGTTTTTAAAAGTTTAGAAAGATTATAAGAAAAAATTCTAAATATTTTTTATTTATAACTACCATACATACGAATTATCAATACGGTTTTATAACGTTTTATATAGATATTAAACCTGGGATATAAATATTAAACCTGAGACACCCTGTATATTTTAATATAATTTAATATAATTTTTATCAAAATATTCATTATAAAATAAATAATACTAAGAAGAAAAAAGACCACCACTTCTCAAAAAAACTTGTTTAATATTTCCAAGAACCACTAATAATTCTCAGAAGTATTTTGAAAAATAAATATGGTTTTATTTTGCTGCAGGCTGTAACTTATTTAAATCGTTTGGCAAAACATTTCTTTTAATACATTAAATTTTATAACAATTTCATTAATTATTTCCTGATAAAATAAATTCCCTGATATTTCTCGGTTTTCCAGAAAGTAGCCACCCTATGTTATGTTCTAAAAGAAAAACGCGCGGCTCTACAAAATGTAATGCTACAGCCAAAACCGCAGAAAGCCGCAAGAAATTTTTGTCGATTTATATTTGTTATATCAATATTTCAACTTGAAATTTTACAACAGCATAAGATCTCGTTGATAACTATTTCAATGGTTTTTATAGGACGAATCGATAAATGTTCATATTAGACAGTTGCTTATTCAATGTCATTTTTATATCTCATAAAATATCTTAATTTAGGATTTACAAGTGTGAGATTATTTTACATACCTTTAGGATCACCCTCCATCACACCAATTTGGAAACTGACACCGCGATAATTTGTTTGCAGTGAATTACTCTTGTAGTTATTTTAACACATATGGTGCGTCGAAATACTTACTCTGGCGGAGCTTAATTGTAACTGACCTACAGATGCGAGCACCGAAGACACCTAATTTTCCCTGTAGTTTAATATGTAGAATAGGCCCATTTACCATTTTACATACTCAAACATCACAATTATTCATTAAATTTTTCGGCTTTTGGCCAGCTTTTTTTTATTTTGGACCACTGTGCGCCGGTAGATTCCCAAGTTACTCTAACTGGAATTTTGTGTACCTTTAACGTTTCCCGTGTAAGAATTTTTAATATTTTGCAATTATAGTAATAAAAAAATTAAAGGATAAACTTAATTAATAATTGTTAAGTTTAATTAAAATATTAACGGGCAATGTTAATGGTGATAATTACGTCTAAAATGTTTATTAGGATGGTTACTTTATTTTTAGATAATATTAAGTATTTGTAGTAAAAAAAGTAGTATGCAACTCGTTTATAAACTTTTTTAGGAACTCATTTAATTAAGCACCCGCTCGCAAGCTCGCTCGTGTCTAAATTAAATTCGTGAAAAAATGGCGTTTATCAAACTTGATACATAATATACTATCATTGAGTAATGATACTATAATGTCTTAACTCAAGCATATAACGTGGCAAATAAAAGCCAAAAGCAACAAATTACTGTTTCCATGCAATTTGATAGTCACCCGGACACTGCTAAGTGGATTATACGGCGCCTGAGGGCAAAAACAATTCACAAGAATAAGAAGCTTACAGAAATCAGAGTTTTTTTAGGAACGAAGTCAATTATTATTAAGTACTAAAGAAAATAACATAACACAAGATATTTTTAAACGTTTTTGAATAGGTAAACAGGATGTTAGGTAAATTGGAATCAGTATTGCTCCACACGTTTTTTTAAGCGAATTGTGGGGGACTCACCTATAATTTTATGTAAAGGTGATTCGTATTCTGCTAATCATTTTGGCTGGTTTTGTATCCTTGGCTTCGTCCTTCACCAAAACTAGGACGTTTAGAATTAGCTTGGAGGCTTCTTCGTTGAATTTAGGGGTACAATTTCAGATATATTCACGTTCTATATATATAATAACACAAGCCGGCCGGCACAAATAAAGTTAAAAACGACTTCACTATGTGGCTGTCATCCTTTTTTATGGCTGTCATATTCACTTGTTGTCTCTTGGTCGAATGCATTTTAAGCGCGAAATTTTGGTGGATAAACAACGCATGTGCGTAAGACTCGCGCTCAGGGCCGGCCCGACGGGTTTTGCCGCTCCGGGCAAAGATATTTTTGCCGCCCCCTTTTTATTCAGCAGGAATAGATTTTTTATGCTTTAGAATTACTAGGTAAGGCAATATACTGTTAAAAATATAAACATAATTGCCTCACTTGTCAGTTATATAATGATATAATCCTATATATTATTATATACTATAATAGTGTCACTATTATAATAAGTATAACAATTCAAAATTCAATAGATATTTTTAATTCATCAATAAATGAAGTAAAGCAAGCATTTTTGCAGCTGTTGTGATGGTAGTATTTGTTATTATTTAATTTTTTTTTTCTTAGGGTATACTGTTACATTATTGGGATTATTTTATATTATTGTTACTAGTCTTAAGTCTCTTCCTGTAAATGGTATTTAACAGTTGGATGTAAATTAAATTAAATAAATAAAATAAAAAATAAATAAAAAGTGTAATTAAACAATATTTTAAATTACAAAAATTCTTTGGTTTGTTAAAATTTACTTTTGTAATATTCCGCGATAACAGATTATTACATAATTGCTGTTAAAATATCGTATTTTTAACATAAGTATACAGGCCGAGTGCACCCGAACATTTTAAGTAACTTATAAGTATACTTACTTCATCTTTAAAGTAAATTAACTCAATAATTACGTAATGAGTTTAGAGGACTTTGGCAAAACCGAATGCTGCTGTGATGCACGCGTCAGATCATTGATTTTAGACCTCTAAAAACAATGTTTAGATGTACACATCAAAAATAAAACCTCATTTTCATATATGAAGACCCTAGAAGACAAGGGATACAAATAACATTTAAAAAAAATTGTAGTTATGTTAACAATTGTTAATTTTATTTTGGAAA